CATTTGAAGACTACCTCCTGCCATCCAACAACAACTCTATATTCCTAACTGACTGTTCACATACTGAGCTCATGGAAATAATTTCCAAGCTGGAAAATGGCAAATCTAGTGATATCCCAATCCGTGTGATCAAAAAGTCAGCTCATCTAATCTGCCCTGTTTTAGCCCAACATTTCAATAAACTGATGATGAGCGGGGTATTTCCCGATGTATTGAAAGTTGGGAAAGTTACTCCTATATTTAAGAAAGGAAACGAAGAGGATGTAGGAAACTACAGACCTGTCTCTACTCTGCCCATATTTGGTAAGATATTTGAAAAAGTGATATACAGCCGTATCTATAGTTTCGCTTTGTCACAAAATATCCTTGATGAAAACCAATTTGGATTCCGCAAGTCCCATTCTACTAGCCATGCTGTTAACTACTCTGTTAGGATTATTGAAGAGAGCATAAAAAAACGAAACCATGTTCTAGGAATATTTATAGATTTGAGTAAAGCATTTGATACAATCGACCATAGTACACTCCTAACAAAACTAGATAGGTATGGAATAAGAGGCAATGCAAACTGTCTCATTAAAAGCTACTTATCAAATAGAACACAGTACACAGAAGTCCTTAATGAAAAATCCGAAAACCTCATCATTAAATATGGAGTTCCACAAGGCTCTGTTTTGGGACCGCTCCTTTTTCTTCTATACATAAATGATATTTCCAATTCCTCAGATTTAGGAACTTTCATACTATTTGCCGACGACACCAACATTTTTATTAATGGCAAAACTGTAGAAGAAGCTTATGAGAAAGGCAACAAATTGCTAAGCTGTATAAAAAAGTATATGATCCTTAACAAACTACACATCAACATGTCAAAGTGCTGTTATATGCATTTTAAACCAAAGGCTAGTAAACCAGTAGAATTTCCAGATTCGCTTCAACTCCATATTGATGGCTTTCCAATTAAAAAAACCAAAGCAACAAAGTTTCTTGGAGTTGTTATTGATGAACAGCTTTCCTGGGGGCCTCATATAACAGCACTTAAACGAAAGTTAAACTATGCCTCTGCCACCTTAAATAGAATTAGGGACTCTGTACCGAAGGAACTCCATAAAGACCTATACCACACACTATTTGAATCCCACCTTACATATTGTATCTCAGTTTGGGGTGATGCAGCACTCTTTAGGACAGCAAGTATCTGGTTGTCTCAGAAGCACTGCGTACGGGTCCTCTTTGGTGATAAAGAGGCATACCTAAACAAGTTCCTAACATGTGCAAGAACAAGAGAGTTTGACAGCCAGGCACTTGACCATACATTCTTCCAACTAGAGCACTGTAAACCACTTTTCAAGCAACAAAACATCCTGGCTTTCAAAAATTTATATACATATCACACTTTTATGGAAGTTTTTAAAATACTGAAATTAAGGTGCCCAGCATCACTGCAACAGCATTATCAGCCATCTTCTAGAAAGGAAACCACTCTCATTTCACAACTCCCATCTAATGACTTCATATCAAGATCCACAAAAATCTGGAGCACAATTGCACCTAAACTTAAGCTTTTTGACTACTCCTACAAGATTAGCCTTGCTAAAAGTCGCCTGAAAAAGGCACTTCTAAAGCTGCAACATGCTTATAATGATTCAGCATGGACTTCAAGCGATTATGACATAATGCAGCTGTCATTTGAAAACAATCCCCTTCAACAAATGTAATCCAGTGTTCTCACTTCTCGGCCCACAGGTTCCTCCTATTAAAAAATTTTTGATTTTGGTAAATGTGTGCTGACTCCACCACCTATGTATTTAACCTAATATTTAGTGTATTACAGGTAGACATTGACTTAGGTAGGTATTTTTCTCTTAAGGTAGATATTAAGAATTTGGTAAATTTCTTAATTGTATGACTATTTCCATTATTGAGACGTTTTAAATATTTGATTTAAGAGGTTTTTTTTATAGGACTGGTTCACAGTGTGAACAGATTCCAGATTTATATATTTTTAAAGTGATATTTAATAAATGATTAAAAGAACCAATTTTAAAGTTGCCATAGTAAAGCCTTTAGGTCCAAAAATATACCCATTATGCTCACGTAAAAACAACTCTAAATCAGTAGGCTGTCACTCTATTAATGCACCACACCGCTTCCTCCACTGCACTAAAAGTTATACAATAAATTCTTCAATCCTAATTTTGTATCGTGATGGAGACCGGTGTCCATACAAAAATTTTACTAGGTTGCCGTTTGGTGTGAGCAATAGCGAACAGCACGAACACTCCTTTGCCCCGTCAACCTATATCTAATCTATTTAAAGAGTGACAACCATACTACACATTGAATTAGGATTCCTTTAAATATCAAATTGATTTATTGTAAACTTGTTTACTCTGTAATAAATGGCATAAAATTGAATTTTTGTTTAACTGAATTTTTGTTTAACTGAAATAATCAAACATAAATTTGTGTACATAATTTTATTGTGAAACAAATTTTTAGTGAAACAAATTTAAAATTTTATCCTTTATTTTACAATCATAATATAATAATATTTATAAGCCTCCGTTTTGAAACGGACTAAAGGTCGTGATAGTTATATGTAAAATTTATTTTTGTTTGTTTTAATTGATACTAAATAAAATTGTTGGTTTCTTGTAATTGTTGTTTTCTTGATCCGTCCTGATATGTTTTAGTAGATAAGCTTTTAGTGTAGTCGATAGCATTGCTTGTGGTAGTCCCAACGCCTCATGGAGGCAGTTCAGCTTCTGGATAACATTGAGCTTCGTGAGGTATGTCATGATGTAAAAGTTCAACCCCAGCTACAGAAGGTAAATGAGGGTGACTGCCTCAACCCCAAGACTATAACAGGTGACCAAGTTCGGCTTGATGTATCTGCTAGAGGAGTTTGGACTCCATTTGATAAGACCTTTCTTGACATAAGGGTTTCACACCCCAATTGCTTATAATCAAACAGGACAAAAACTCTTCAAGAAGTATACGAAGAGAACGAGAACGAGAAGAAGGACAAGTACTTGGAGAGAGTGTTGAATGTGGAGAAGGCTACCTTCACCCCGGCTGTATTCTTCACATCTGGAGGAATGTCTAAAGAGTGTAAGCAGTTCGTCAACAGAGTAACAGACCTCATTGCAAGAAAAAGGAAGGAAAGGTACTGTGATGTAGTAAGACATGTGAGAACAAGGATAAGATTTGCAATGTTGAGAACAACTCTTGTTGCTCTACGAGGGTACCAAGGAAAGAAGGTGGACACCAAACGTGAGATTCAGCTATCAGAAGTCTCATACAAGCTCATCCCTGCCCCTATAATGGAGTAGATCATGTGTTTTGTTAAAAAATTTTTTGAAAAAATTATTGGTAGCAATGAATTTTGCTCTGCCAATTGCAACACTAAAAATTTGATTGTGCTCTGCCAATTGCATCACTTGATTAAATTGAATGTATATATAATACTGTTTGACACACTTTCCGTAAAACCCTGATTTACTGTGGAATTTGGGGAAAAGAAACACAGCGGTAAATTGGGGTTTGCGGTAAATCAGGCGCAGTAAGTTCGACGCAGTACATTGATGAAAGGAGCAAACAATTATTTCCTCGCTACTCAAGCAGAAGCACAGAGACCAAGGTTATATCCTCAGTGTCCAAATTGTAATGTATTGGACACCAATTACCATAGAATCTTCTACTGTCCACTGTGCAGCTGCTCTTACAGGGAAACCCTGCAGGAGCACTCCTCTAATGACCAACCATGCTGGTCTATCTTAAGAGATGATAGTGATAACAGCATCACTGCCTTCCGCTCTCTAGCACAAATTTCCATTGGTGAACTATCATAAAGATTATTATTATAGTGCTCTCCCTACCCTTCTCCTTGTGACATTTCTTCTCCTTCAGCCTCTACCACTCACTCTACTGCCTCATCTTCTGGATGTCATTATCTTTAGTTTAGTTGAGGATTCTCAACACCCACTCTCAAGTTGAGTACTCTCGACCCACTTAGTCCACATACCTTGCAAACTTACAGCACTGGTTCCACTAGTCAATCGTAGGAGAAGAGAAAGCTTAATAACAAATTTGATGGCTGCATTTTGTTTGATTTATTAGGTCCTAGTATTTATCCCCATTGTTTTAAACTTTTAAGAGAACTCTCTTTAAATTATTTTAATGCAGTCACTCAGATAAGTTTTATACCTGGACACTTCAACAAAGACACATACTCTGCCCACAATAAGGGGCCATAATTGTCTCAATTATGTAACTGTATAGAATTATAATCATTATCAGCTTCTGTTTACAATTCTCTTGAAGATTGCGCAGAGCCCCTGGGCCCCCTTAAAAGGGATCGTACTCTCCGATCCTGGTAAGCCTGGAGGGACTTTTCAACTTTATTCAAATATGCCAAACTTAAAGTACTGAAACTATGTTGGTCGTCGGTATGTTGTCCATTATCTGCATTCTGCTTTCATAGTTTCAACAATAGTGAGTTCTAAATATACAGCTTCAAACTCACTATGTATGAATGAATGAAATACCTGACAATCCGCATTCCTATAACTCAAAAGCATGAGTAACTCGTAATAGTATGATTCTTAAAAACTTTAAATTAAATTTGGCGCACACAGGTCCTCGTGATCATGTGATTGCCGCATGAGGTTTTGTAAATGCGCGGCGCACCTTCAAGCTTAAATTATTCACCTTACTGAGGCAGCCAACCAACACACGGCTTTATTTCTATGATATTATATGTTTTGATTATTATTAATAAATACCAAAATTTAAAACTTGTTTTCCTAAAACTTGTTTTCCTAATTTTAATTGATTAAAAAGTCTGTCATTTTGAATTAAATTATTAACTCTTTTTGCATTTTTTGTTTCATGTTTGTAGTGCGCATTTATTATGTCACATCATATCATTCTGAGCTATGCTAAACCATATTATTGTTTTGTATTAGCTACTATAATATAGCTTTCTGCTTGTTTTAATGCTTATGCTACCATTTCACAACTAACTTTTAGCAACATCAGGATGAATGAAGTTATACTATCAATTGCTGTCTGCAGTTTGATTTTATACCAGATTGTGTCTTGTGATGACGTAGTAAATGGCATGGTTCTGATAATTCCTCAACACAAACTGGTTCTGGGAAGGTCAGTGCTAGATATTTGTTTCTCGTTTAAATTGTTTCCAACTCCGAAGTTCTACATTTTGTTACCTTGTCAGAGCGTTTTCATATTATGGTTTACAGGTTTTGTGCTGGCTTGTTAATTTGCTGCTTTTTAAATTTCACATAACTTCATTCTTTTCAAATGTACGTTCAGTTTTCGTTTTTGGAATATTTCCAATGATTTAAAATCAAGTCAAATTATTGTGTTTGGCCATTCAAATAACATTGGGCAGGCTCCAGCTAGTCGGATGATTTAGATATCCACCATTATCAGTTTGGCGGATCATACCCGCCCGGCACTATGCCGGCCCATGATTTTCCGAATCGCTTACCAGTGGAAATCTAGTCAATTCAAATATCTGCCTGCTTGGTACTCATGGTCGATACAATCACAGCCCAATTAACTTCTTGATCAGACTGATTCACCTACATGTGCATACGCCATCTGGGAGCCGTCAGTTGAGCTTGCTCTTTGACTCGTGGGTTGAAAACATCGTGTACAGTACTTCGTGAGTAGTATAACAGTACTTCACAACGATAATCCGCCTCCCCAACCAAATATCTTAAATTATCAGTTTGTGCATAACAGGCGATCAGGTGAATGGGTTTAACTGATCGAGCTATATCCTCATTCTCATGAGAACCTAATCAACTACTTGGTTGCTATTGAGAGCTATTACTCAGTTTTGCTGACGATATGATTAAAATTCTTGACAACTTTTCCACTTTCACTATTGTAGTGTGGAAAAATGGTGTTTCTAGTATGTTTGCAAAGATGAGCATAAGCAAGTAAATGTCGAACGGCATGGCATGGAGTCCATCAACCAAATTTTCAAATTTGGTGACATAATCCTCGAACGAATTGTTACAGTATGCCATCTAAAACATGAAAAATCGTTTCAGATAGTCCCTTTTCCCAACTGTGCCAAATTTTAACAATTTTCTCCAGCTTGAAAAGATAATATACAAAATTTGTTTTTGGCTGAAGATGTAATCAAACTACCAGTGCTGTGGACACACTATTGGCTTCTTCTATGTTGGATACTGAACCATCATGCTTCGTCTCTGTTGGTTATTATTTGTCCAAACACTGTAAAGATAGGCTCATCAGTACTTGATCATTTTGATAGTTTATCATTTGGTGACATTGGGTGACTGATTATTTGGAGCCTATTATAATATAATAGAAGTTGTCCATTAAACATTACCAATTTCCGAAAAAAATCGAGAAGGCTCAGGTTTTTAAGCCTACCCTTAGGAAGAATTACTCTGATCCGGACTACCTGAACAACTATGGAACTAGTTCAATTGGTCAATTGGTCATGCCAGTACTGTCATAAACTGTAACCAACTATTTAAAAATTAGATATATTTTGCTAAATTTCAAATTTTAAGTCATAGAGCAATCTTCTTGATTTTAAAATTTTTAAGAATAATATTTTACCCTAACTATGATGTGGTGGCATTTCATACTTAACTAAATTTCAACTTTGAAAGTAAATAGATTATTAGTGACAACAAAATTATAGTTTAAGACATCCATTCTGCATTGTGTTTCCAATATTAGAATTTATGATATGTATTGATTGAATAATTGGTAATAAATTTAACTTTTGTTTTATTAACTTTGTTTTATTAAATCTTCCTGTCTTGTAAAATTCACAATGTGTTAACTATTTTAGAAAAATTTCGATCACAGAGATTCCCACACCTAATAACATAAGATATTTTTCTTTCAGAACGAAGGAGAATTTTGATTCAAAAAAAGATTGGAAAAAGCTTGACGTAAAACCATTCCTAATCAGTGAAACTCCCATCACAAATACACAGTTCTCAAAATTTGTTTCTAAACAGAAGTTAGTATTTTATACTGCAAATTTAACCTCCCTTATGATCTAGATATTATTGAGTTCACCATTATGTTGATACGAAGTTCCTGCATCGAAAAATGTATCATATTATTAACATTTGACACCCTAAAGCAATATTCATGTTTCAGATTCAAAACAGAGGCAGAAGTATTTAAGTGGAGCTTTGTATTTGAAAAGTTTGTGTCAGATGATATTAAGGAAGAGATAAGCAACTCTGTAAAAGGTAAAAGTGACATGAAATGTTATAGACCTATGGTGCAACCCTCAACAATACAGGGTAGAACTCTGTAAGATAGATCTCGAAACTGGTAGGAGGTGAAGCACATTTATTCTGACACGTGAACTTAAGTAACCTATCAGATTACAGCATTGGTCCACCTCCCCACCAGTATCCAGATCTACTGCTCTGCTCCCCAATATCAGCTTAATATGTTCAGAGAGTAATTTTTACCTTTACCTCCCATTTTGTTATATCACACTGTTTATCATTGTGTTGTAGGTTCAGTGTGGTCACGAGTTAATACAGGTGTTATTGTCTAAAATAATCTACAATAATCTACAATACTGCTGGGTAATAATATACCCAGAAGTTCTGGCTCAGTTCTAAAGCCGATGTTCGCTAGTATCATCCCAAAATGATAAAACTTCTAATTTCTATGCATTTAGGAATCGCCTTTTGAATGATAATTCATACCCCCGTTCCCAAAATAACGACTGTATGCCATTTCTCTCGCATCGCTAGACAATTTGTCTACAAAATTCACGTACGTCAGAAATTTAATGGATTTATTCGGCCATAAAAAGATAAAAGCTTGACAATCCAGGGCCTCGATTGAGCTTTGACAAGCATCATAAAGATGAATTTAGTTAAAGGAATATGAACTATGAAGCATCTTGGAATCTGTCTATATATTGTTGGGCGTGAAAATATAAATGATTATTGTTGAAACGTGATTTTATTATGCAACTTTCGTGCTGTTTTCGTTGGAACTGAAACGATCGCTATGTCAAACCTCTTAGCCCTTTCCGTAGTATTTCTGATTCTTTCCTCGCTGTCCGCCAAAAGATCCTGCTCACTCAAGAACCGAATCAAACAGTTTAAAAAACGATGTCTGTTAAAAGGTAAGTGTTTCTATTTCTCAGAATGACCGATACTGCAACCAGGGCTGAATAGTTAGTAAACAAAAATGTCACAATACCATAAATCCTGCTATTTTTTAACTGTGACTGGACATTTCGTCAGGTTTTGAGTCCACCTTGAAATGCATCTCCTACCAACCCCAATCTCCTTCTAAAAGAGTTCCCAGACATTTAGTGACGAAGTGCCGCAGATTGGAGGATGTTCTGGTATCTGGGTGTGGCTACACCTGTGGCACAGTCCACGGTGGTTGGAGCCAGTTTGGGTCGTGGAATCAGTGCAAGGAACGGTGCAGTGGGGAGCGGAGACGGGTGAGGAGTTGTAACAACCCTGCACCTGCTAATGGTGGATCAGATTGTGTCGGATCTGCTATAACTGCTGAAGCTTGTGTTGATATCACCTGCCCTGGTAAGGAATATAACAACAGTAATATAAGTTATAACAACAGATTAGGATTAGGAATCATAAATGGTTCTTATATACTACGTGATACATAGGCTACGTATTCTCTTGTCTATTCATCTTTACTGTTAACGAGTTACGACATTATTTTAATAAACCTTTCAGTGGCTGCTAAGAGAGTAGTAATAAATGATGGAGAACCAAGTAAGAAACAACAGATTAGGATTAGGAATCATAGTTGGTTTATTATATGGACTCCGTGATACATAAGCTATGTATAATTCTCTTATTCATCTTTACGACATTATTTTAACAAACTTTCAGAGGCTGCAGAAAGAGTAATAATAAATGATATGAAACCTAGAAACGATAACTTGGGTGGGGTAACGTACAAATTAGACATAACAACAGGATCAGATTACTGGGATGGAACTGACGACCCTATATACATGTCTCTAATTGGAGATTCTGGAATAGTCATGTATCTGGGACTGCTAAGTTTAGGATCCAAGTTCAGCGGTATCCTCAAATCTGGCTCACAAGACATACTTACATTCCATACCACCTGGGATGTGGGCCAAGTGAAATGTATTGAGTTAACTGCTGGTGGGGACGATGCGTGGATGTTTACAAAAATTTCAGTTACAAGTAGCACGGAAGAAAATGTTCACTATAATTTCTACAATGACGAGGGTCAGTGGTTGTCCTCCGATACTACCGAAGGAGTTGACCGGTGGAATAGCTGTGCTTATAGACAAGACCAGGGGCGTGCGCAGTATTAACTGAATTATATTTATATGCTAAACCAATAGGATATCAATACAGAAGGTTCAAAACAGTTGATAAGACACTTGGTTATTAGTAATATTTTCATTTTTAAAACAATGAACAGATTAAGATAGCACGAATTTTAAGTTATTGCGGATATTTCCAGTCTGAAGATTGGCACTGGCAGTATGGCTAAGTGTTACATGCTATTTGGTACTGGATCGTGATGTCCCATGATTTCACGAGACCCGGATTTATACAATATTGAATAAATATTTTAATGTGGTTCTTGCTGCTCTTTTTACCACTATAGGCTGGGTCTTTGTTAAATGAGTTGGTATCCCAGTTCAGCTTTTTTCGTGACGTAACATTACAACTAGATATTGTGATAAATTTACTTGCAACTTTTCGTGTTTTATTTCGCAACAATTGCGTCTCCGAATGTTGTTGAGGTTCCAGAAATGCATATCAACGTCAAAGAAGATATGAAAGTCGAAACATTTCAATTAAAAACTGTACTATGATATCAGGGCTGGAATACCACTGAATTTAATTACTCGTGTGAATCATCATAAGATCATAGACATTATTCACATTCTCAAAGTATCAATGCCTTTTTGTGGCTTCCGGATAAATAACTTAAAAAAGTGTGCTCATTTTCACAAATCTAATATCGCAAACTTTTGTTCAAACCTCTTGTAGCAGACCAATAGTTCCACCCGTCCCTACCAGCAACCTATAAACCCAATCCTCAGTTCCTTGTCACAATTATACCTAAAGATAAGAGCGATTGTCTGCAAGCTGTAAAAACTTTACAGTGTCCAGTCATTTAACACCAATACGTAAGCGGGGTGCTGCTCTCTGCAGCTCAGAAACTCTCTGCAGTAATCACATAATATGCATTATGCAGTAGTCATGTGACTAACTTTCTGCTCTCTCTCCTGCCCAACCTGGCCTCCACGTGGCCTCCACGTGGCCTCCACGTGGCCTATTACATCCGCCCTGGCAGAGCGGGGAGAGGGTTGATGTGATGATAATGATATGGTAATTGTATTAATTTGTCCATTCTCAAACACAAGGGTTTGTGTGTTGTGTTCGGTATATAATCGAGGGAGAAACAACATTACTCATCGCTTCTCGGCCTTTTGGCTAAGATCAAGTGTAGTATCTGTTCTTATCAGTTTAATATCTGATACGCTACTCATCGAGTAGCTTCAATATTAAATTGATTTTTGGAAATTGGTCTCGGATGTGAAGCTTGCTTCAGCCAGACCACGAGTCTTCCCCGTATTGCAGTACCTCGGGGCTAGGCTCACCTCCCTTTGGGGAGGCCTTTTAAAATGCAAATGAAAGAAGATATTGTAGTAATATTGTATTGGAGTAAAGTTGTATGTACAAACACCATTAGTCCAGTCCACTATATTAACAATACACGTTCTACTGTGACTGTACAGTGAAACCACACTGAACCTATAACTAAACCATGTGCTGTAATATACCCGACTTACTTTCCTAAACCACCCCCCTCTGTCAGGAGCAGAATGGTGGCTACCAGTGGAGGGAGCATACTGGAAACATCCCTCAGGACCTGGTTCTTCAGCTGGCAGGAAGCCAGACCACCCTGCCGTTCACATATCATTTAACGATGCAGTGGAGTATTGTCAAGCTCAGGGAGCGAGGTTACCCTCTGAACCAGAGTGGGAGTTTGCTGCTCGTGGAGGCATGAGAGGTATTTTACAAGATAGGATGCATTCCATTTTAGATTAAGCTTGCAGTTTTTTCGGTCAATATTGAATTCAGTTTGAAGTGTATAGTATAAGGTGACTATCAACATTGTTTTTGTTGTCTTTATAATCTAACTTCTAAATTCACAGATCAGCAATATCCGTGGGGTAATGGATACGAGAAGAACAGAATGAACATTTGGCAGGGAAAGTTCCCGAAAGAAAACAAAGGAAAGGACGGTTATATTGGTGTTGCTCCCGTTAAAGCTTTCAAACCCCAAAACCCATTCGGTAAGTCATAATCTTGGTGTCGTATCATGCGACCGGCTCTAAAAGTTACTTACTTTGTTACTTTGTAGGGCTTCATAGAATCCTCTATCGGGCCATCGAAAAAGTCGACCCCCCGGACAGTGTAGAAACTGTTTTATCACCACTCCAATCAAGCAAGGAGTTTCCATTCCGACGGCTGTATCCTGGAGCTGGAGGCTCGTCCGGAAATGACTTCACAAAGTTCGTTAAAGCTGCTTTGAATTGCATAGGATCCTCGATGGTGTGCATATGTGTTGGGATTACATTCCATAATCGAGGTCCAGTGACTGCAAATGAGTTGTCATGTAGTGCTTGATTAAGTGTCTATATATTTGTACAGCCTGCAGATTGTTCCTTTGTTCACAATGATCAGTGATTTTGTTGTAAATCTTACCCTCAACGGATAGACCTTATCGTTTCATCTTTAACAAGTTATATTAACAATAATCGTCCTACAGGGATATACGATATGATAGGAAATACGTGGGAGTGGACTAGTACAGTGTTTGGTGTTGACTCTCAGACCCGCATGCCTCAGTATACCCTCCGTGGAGGTAGTTATGTGGACTCAGTGGACGGCAAGTTCAACCACAGAGCAGATGTTACTACCAGGTAGGAACTTACTTTCTCCTACTTTTAATGTCTCCTACTTTCTCCTACTTTTAATGTGCACGGAACAGGTGTTCTAGAAAAATTACTTTACGGAACGCGCGGAGCTCAAAGATCCCGCCCACATGTTCGCGGCGCGGAATTAGCAATTAATTAATATATATAATCGTGTAATTCACGTACATCAATTTAATAAATAATTAAACAAGTTGGGGGCCAATACTTAGGACATCCGGCATATATTATAGGGAGGCGGTGGTTTTGGTACATGGAGAGGAGTTGGTATGACATCCTAAGCACTAAGAAGATGGCCCTTTATTTGAAAGGTTAAAATTCAAATTTCATACGTCATCGGTCATACGTGTCTATTTATCCGAAATATCTATGGTTAGGGGAAGATTTCGTTTAACATAATATGTTATATATTATATACAAGCTAGTGAAACTGGACGTCTTACAGTTACTGCCTATCCACCTGCCGGATTACGTTCAGAATGGTATTTCTGTTCGGGTATTCAAAATGAGGCTTGAACTGATACAATTTTCATAAGAGCCCTCCTAGTGGAAGGCTGACCAAAATATATGTTATCTAGTCTCCGGAGAGGACCAGATACGCATTGGAACTTAATCTTACCTCAAATTATTTGTTATATAGTAGTGTTGAAAGTATTAAAACTGCAGATTGAGTGCTCTCTGGCCTACTTATTTATCGACCTGACTCTTTCCTAGTTTGCATGAGAGCTAAGTATGTACAACATTTCCTTTGAGCTATGGCTAATGAGACACGTGTGGGTCACGAGATAGCATGTCAGGATTGCAAATACGACACCAGACTAGTGTCTTGTGTTGCAGATAGTTGCTTTGCAATTAGGTCTATATAAGGAATGTAATCAGGTGTGTATGATGTACCTGTGCAGCACTGTTATAAGTATGGCTATAATATGAAATTAGAGAGTTTATCTCGTTGCCTGGGTTCCTTTAGTTTCTATCAGTGGCGTAACGTTGCCTGTTGCCCCCCCCCCCCCCCCCCCACCCCCGCCCGCTGAAAAAGCGCCCCGCTGTTGGAGCCCCCTCCCTCAAATTAGATGATTTTAGAGGATACGCAGGTAAAATCTCTAAAAAAGTGTGTTTCTAGAGCAAAACGCTCAGTTTTGCTAGTACCGTGTTAAGTTTTTCGAAATTGTCACACATTTAACCGACTATTTTGGCCCCCCCCCCCCTAAGATTGCCCCCCCCCCCCCCCCCCCCCCCCCCCCCGGGGGTCGGCGGGGCTCTTCGTTACACCACTAGTTTCTTAATAACATGGGAAAGATTAACTAATAAAATCAGGACTTATTTTATCATTTCCAGGATGGGAAACACAGCGGACGCTGGGTCGGACAATATTGGGTTTAGATGTGCTAGAGACGCAACTCGAAAAGACATGGATGACCGTAAAACTGGCAAACAAGAACTTTAATTTCAGTGTTTGATTCAACGGGGATATTTGTAGTTAAATTAGTAATTTATTGATAATATATTTAATTTGTGTACTGATCTCTGACTGACTTGGCACAATTTGTTTGGTAATTAAACATTTCGAGAAATGAGGAAATAATATTGGTTTACAAATTTGACTTGTTTTATTGTAGTATGTTTGCCACATTGCTCAGATTTTATATGTTAAATTAAAACCTCCTTTATTTTTTAATTGGATCGAAATTCAATAAATATTAATTTATTACAGTACAATTTCATGACACATTATGATGGTATTTCTGTGACGAAGTGTAAGCAGATCACTTCAACCAATGCATGAAGTTGTATGAGTTCTTCGTTAGATACGGGTTTTCAATATTGTTTGTGTATTCTTTCAATCTGATTGATTCTGATTTATTTCTATTGTCACTGTAATAATAAGTTCTTTATGTTTATGAACCTTGCTTTTAATGCAGAATATAGTCTCATAAGAGTACGGTGACGATCAACTAAATCTAGCTCTGCGAAGTTGACCTACCATTTTCGACCCTGTCAAACTGAAAATCTATCCGAAATACGTGCGTATTAAAATTCCTGCAAATATAAAAACTTTACCAAATCGACAAGTAAGACACAACAGTCGGATTGTTTTATATTACAAAGATTTAGAAAAGGATACGGCACCGGGAATTCTCAAGCAGTCAAACTTTGAAGTATAAGTACTAATCCGACCTGCAGTTGCTTACTCAGGTATTCTAAACTGATAAGAAAGTATGCCACCCATAACAGCTATCACTACCGCAAGGCTAGAATGTAGGACGGTAGCTGGAATGGGGGTAGATAAAAGAGGTAAAGATAGGGGGAGTTGTGGAGAGTGCGATTGTAGTGATTACGAGCTACCACAGAGTAATAGCAACTGTAAATGTGTGTACTGTGACTGTCCTCCTACCAAGCATGAGGTATGTTCTTAATTTGCAGTATTTTCATTTCATCTTCCTCAAACATTTCCTCTTCGTGCGGCACCCATTTCATGAAATCATTTTATATCGAAGTTATAACCATGAACCATATTTAATTGAAAGTAAACTGTTCTCATGACAGCTGTTGGGATACGACAAGACCGCTAGACTAACCAAACAAGTGGACAGACTGACGGACGACAACCATTTAGCACGGAGTCCTGCTCTTTTTAACGATCTACCAAAAGCAGGAACATTTCCCCGCGAAGAATGGACAAAGATTGACGATCTTAAACTAAACAAGCCTATGAATAAACCCGTCTTATTAGACTCAACTGAGCCTCTGAAAGAAGAGGAGAAAGAAGAGACAGCTACAGAAGATTTGCCTGTTATTTTGGGAGCAGGGACCTTACCTACAGCTAGTCAACCAAGAGAAAAGAAGCCGGATAAAATGGCCCGCAGAGAAAATGCTAGGTTTGGCGCCCATTTATATCAAAAATATGACCTATTTTATCCTTCACTATATGGTCGCCTTTCATTAATCTACATTTGCATCTCCGACGTGATTAGTGTGTAGTTGGGCCACTTGTGGTTAAATGTTCTCCCATTCCATATTTGCTATGTCAATTGTCAAATTAGATTTACTGTTCAGATGTTAAAGCTCACACTAAACGGGCTATATTTTCAGAGCTCCACCAGCAAGGAGAAGAGGGAACAGTGGAGACAGAGGTGATACACCTCCTGGCAAAGCCTCCACCGGGGTCGGTACAATTTCTCTAAACAGAAATATCTGTTGAGAATCAAGAATTCAGGATACTGATAGTTTTAATTTTTAAACCGAAACCGTCGCCAGTATGCAGTAGCAAGCAGGAAGCAGAACTAAGCTCCACATCCTACAGTATCAGGGATGACTCAACACCAGAGAATAATAAATCAGTTGTTTTGATAAATAAAACCTTTCTTCAAATAGATTGAACAATGCTATCTCAGGGACGGGCTGCTCGTAAGAACAGGAAGTCTGCTGCAGTGAAATGTCACAATCTAGATCAGATCATGTCCTCGCACTTAGCTGGTAAACTGAGTAAAACGTTCAGTAGATATTTAAATTTTATCTTTTAAACACCAATAACAAATAATGCTGCATCGTTCACTTTCATCGCAAATAATGACTGAAACGCGGCCACTTCTTTCCTACTTCCCATGTTCTGCTGGTTTGAAAGTTACAACGAATGCTCTTCTTTCAGACAAGAGAACCGCAGAACGTATTGATGTGATGTTCCAGACTTATGATGATGACGATTCCAATGAGTTGGATCGAGAGGAGTGCGCGCAATTAACAGGTCAGTGCCGGCTATTCTCCTTCTCAAATTTTTTTAAATTTGTTTACTCCCAAACATTAATCATATTCATGTTCAATGTTCATGTTCACTAATGAGTGTCCCACAGGTTACATACTGGAACAGTGCGGTCTGCAGCCGGATATTATCCCTAGTTTCGTGTATGATGAGGCGTTTGAGAAGTACGACGATGACGGTGGAGGAACAATCACCCTCCATGAATTCAGAGAGTTCCTTATGTCACACCTGTAAGTTCCCTCCCTCCCTCCCTCCCTCCCTCCCTCCCTCCCTCCCTCCCTCCCTCCCTCCCTCCCTCCCTCCCTCCCTCCCTCCCTCCCTCCCTCCCTCCCTCCCTCCCTCCCTCCCTCCCTCCCTCTCTCCATCCCTCCCTCCCTCCCTCCATCCATCCCTCCCTCCCTCCCTCCCTCCCTAATTTGAATTTTCTATCATTTCAGGAAGCAATAGGGGAAGACAGGGACGGAACATTCATGGAAAAAACATTTGATATTCGACCAAAAAAAACAGACCGAAATTTGTGGCTAGAGTCGATTGGTTATGTATTAACCCTGTATTAAACATATTTTGGCTGTTGGATAAACCGAAGTAAAATAAGTATCTAGATATTTTAAAGGTGTAAAATCATAGCTTTGAGTAAGTGTCTTAGATTCAAAACTGATATTTTTACAGATTTTTGACTCTGAACTTCGTTTGACTGTTGACGATCAATATAAAGCAGATCTATCTTAGACAGGCACCAGGAGTTTGGTGAAGTGATTCTAAAAACAATTTAGTCTTGGTTTTAGGAATGAGAGACTCGTTTGATTTAAAATGTAGTTATTACTTTTGTTTTGTTGTTATCACGTTGTGTTGAAAGTGTTTTACTTTTAAATCGGCTGTATCTTCGGTTTGGATGGATTTGTTGATGCAATAAGAACTTTTTGCCTGTCTGTCTGCATGCCTGCCTGTTTGCCTGTCTGCCTGTCTGCCTGTCTGCCTGCCTGCCTGCCTGCCCGCCTGCCTGCCTGCCTGCATCTGATCAAGCTAATTACAATCCTGTAAAAAGTCGCTCCGACTAAATCGCTCGCCCAAATTTTAAGAAAATTGTTGTGAAAGTAATCTTATTCGGTGTATTCTTGGACCATGGACGCAGATTCCGAATCACCCCCCATGACGTAGGGTAAAAATGCTTCCCTGGAGAGTTATGGGCAAAAAACTGTTTTGGTCACGTGACAGGCTAGTAAAACACGAATTCGATTGTTTAGCCTTATAGGGCTCGGTTAGAGCTAGGGTTGTGGTTAGGGTTATGGATAGCTTCGGGGTTACAGTTAAGCTGTTAAGGTTGAGATTAGGGTTTATGTAAAAACGTTTTGTTCGGCTGCAAAACCATAAAAACCAAAGTCGCGTGATAATTTTTTCCCGATCCATGACTCAAGTGCCGAAGGCACAAAAGAGTCAAGGACAAGGGTTAGCGATCGAGGTTTTTTTGGGATATGGTAGCTTTGCGACCGTACCTGCGTGCGAGCGTGCGTGTCTGCGTACGTTTCGCCCACGTGTCTGCCTGCGCAAAGTTATTTTGCGCGAAAATCTGAATTAAACAATTGTTGGCGCGCGGTGCTGAAATGTTCAAGTTCATTGTTAATTTCATCATGTACGCATCCCGCTAGGGACTAATTGATAGCATATTATTATTATTTTGAGTTAGTATTACTATTTTGCACAGATCCGTGTCAGGTTGCATAAACAATAAACATATGGTTACATAGAAATATACACGATTTTCAAATTAAATATGGAATTATATCAACTGGGCGGCGCTCGGCCTGTCACTCCGCCATATCTGCATGCTTATAAACAGTAAAGACTGGGGTCCACAGGTGGTATGGAATATGATCAAATACTCCATCACGGATCGGGAAATTGAGCGGCCATCCACAAAAGAAAAGCGGCCGCATTTCTTGTTGGGCGAGCGAATTAGTTGAGCCGTAAAACGTATTTCAAATATTCAATAATTTAGAAGTAAAATTAATTTTAAGCAGGAAATTACCCATTTTCCGTCCTTTTTGCACACTTGCAATGATATGCACTTAATTAAGAGGCCTACATGACATGAAGCTCGACCTTATCGTGCTGCACGGTGAATTTGCATTATTCATAATCATAGCTTGAGGCAACTTTTGGTACGAAATTTATCAAAATCAGAGACAAACAAAAATTTCGCCGCGGTTAAACCACGCACGATCAATTTTCCCTACGATGCAATGTACTTGTATACCTTTAATTCTTTTGAGGGAAATGTGTGACTGGAAAAAAGTGCAACATATTTAAATACTATATTATTTATAAATGAGTGGGATTCATGCATGGTAAAAATTAACTATTTATTTGACCAATGTTGCGCCGCGCATCAACAATAAATGAATCCAGAAAATTGCAAAAAATAACTTTGCGAAGGAGGAATTTCACTGTAATTAATTAACACATGGCTAGCGTCGCGCGCAGCATAACAGACGCGTCCTAGCTTAAGCTATACACATAATTATAGGGGAGTGGTTCATATTGCGAAGGAGCAGACTTTTGTCATCACCGCAGGTCCATCGGGCCACCTCATACAGTGGGGTGACATATGTTTTCGTCACTTCTGAATGCGCGCATTTTAGCGCGCGAGTTTGCGTGCACGTCACGTGATATTGTTAGCAGTGAGTGTAATCACGAGTCTGGAGAATTTGTCTAGTACAAGGCCCAGACCCTTTAGCGTATCTGTAGTGAATTTTGTGGCGATGTAATATCTATGACACCACTAAAAATTGAGGAATAGGGAAGTGTTCACAATATCCAACTTAGCATGGTAAACTTATGATATCTCTGGCCCTGGCTGAAGATTAACAACTCTAACAGTATTTATTTTAATCAGCTGAGAAACATTTGGTCTTTTTACCTTATCAATTTTATCGAAATCGAACGATGCAGTACAAAGATATTCCGTTTTAAATATTGGTAATATTGAAGTAGAGAAAAGTTCGTCGCTTGCTATTATTATTAAAACATGTGCTCCTTCATAAATAGTATCATTATCGTGATCAAACCCCTTATTTATGGGCCTGCCAGTCTCTTCTGAAGCACGAATGAACTTAATTTATACTGTCCGAGAAAAGTTCAGAATTTTCTCTAAACACCCATTTTTAAATTTTGTAAATCGGTGGTCCGGAAGCGGAGTTATGGTTCAATGAAAATTGTTAGTTTAACGCTGTTTGTATTGTCATTATCAGAAGTGACGAAAACATATGTCACCCCACTGTATATCCAAACCCGATTACTTATTCCCTACGATCTTTTTGCCTTCGGCAAGAGTAGGGAAAAAAATTCTGTGCCAACTCATGGCGCTTATTACAATTACATAGACTAGTAAGCAAATGCTTGTTGACTTTAGACTTGAATGAATCTAAGAATTTGTCTTGTTATGCGTAGGCAAGTTGTTTAGTTGTAATGTATTTTATGTTCTAGTTAATAATGTTGGCTGTTTTGCTATATAATTTAGGGCCAATGTAAGAAATGCTTTTGTCTGAGTTACAATTACATAATATGTCTGAGTTATATAATATAAACGGTTGAATGGTACTGCAAAGAACTGAGGTTCTCATCTATAGGTGCGTTTATTTTCATACAAGTCCTAATTCCTATACTATGCTACGAGAAGCAACTATGTATAAAACTCAGGGTGATATGCAATAATAAGGATGTAGAATATGCGGGCTTCAGACCCGCCTTGGGGAATGGGGACTGTTTAGTGTTTCTCAACTTTTCTAAACTTAAACTCATTAGTTTACTGTGTATTCCTTGTGAGTTTGAGGAACTAGGATGTACTAGGAGACAGTAGGAAGTAATTTAGAAGCTTCACCGTTGTGGTCCTTTTAGTTTTATTTTCCCACCAGAGTTTATTTCAGTTGCTCGCAGTTCCTTTGTAAACTGCACGTGCTTTCTCAATTAAACTTAAATAAAGATTTGTATGGTACTCAGTTATGAAACTATGTTCTGATTATCAATAATTTTTGTTCATACAAGGTCCTACAAATTAACCAAAGGTCCTACAAATTTACCGAAGAATGGTGCTGGAGTTGAAAACAAAACGGCGCTATCTAGCTTACCTGTGTCTCCTTTTTAATGCGTATGTGGAGACGTGCGCGAGGTGAGGTTCCACGTTAACGCATTTCATTTTTATTTGTTTTATACTTTCTTAAAAGTGCTGTATTTCTTGCTGTATTTCTTGTATTGAAGTTAGTGTTTCACAATCTATATTAAGTAATCCAATAATAACCACTACTACCATAATCACCCTAGATTCGGTGTCTCTATCGCCATGATTGGGGGGATGGTGAAGGTGGATTGCAACGATCCAACCGATACCGGCAAGTTCTGTTGGTCCGAGAAAACTCAAGCAATGGTTCTTGGAGCATACTTTTACGGGCATACTGTACAGTGTCTTACAACTTACATTGCAAACCGCTACACAGGTCACATGTCTTATAGTTTACATTGCAAACCGCTACACAGGTCAAATCTTTCTTAGTTTACAATTACATTGCAAACCGCTGCACAGGTCACACGTTTTATAACTTGAATTTATTAATTAAAATGCTATTCAAACGCCGGGAACTGAGACGACAATCAACAGCCAACCACTATGACTAAGGGTGGATATTAGGGAAGACACATTTTTAGGGTTAGGGTTTAAGGTTTAGTGTGAGGGAAGAGTATTTAAAGGACCCTAACACTAGTACTACCCCTTAACTACCATATTATAAATCTTAACCCAAAAGTCGTCTCTCCTTATGTGCACCCTTGGTGGTAATTTAATAACACGGTAAATAATTGGCAGGGTTTACTAAAACATATCGAGTGTGGTTGGTTGTGTCAGCTGTTATTCAGTTTTGCTACCCTAAACTTGCCGAGGTGTCCACCTCACTTATTATTGTAACACAGGTTAGATTTGTAGAGTTAGGATTTTTCATTCCCAATTGCTGACAATAATCGAATCTCGAATTAACACACTGTAATTTCGGATAAAGCAGCTAACGACAAAGCTAACCTCATATAATTAACATTGTCACATAGTTCTTTAAATTCTGCAGACGATAAGAGGCATTTTGGCGGGTATCATGGTAGCATACCACTTTGACTATATCGCTAAATTCTCCGTTGGGAAGGAGAACAAAGCGCTGATTTCTATATTCGGTAAGAACGACTTCCACCACTTGCATAATATATTCTGTTCATATTATTATATGAGAATTATTGATGAGAATTTACAATTATTTTTGCTTATAAAGGCCATACGAAACGAAATATGGCGCTTATTAGTCAACTTAGCAGCTAATTGAAGGATTTCAGGAGCCAATGATTACATAGGACAAGGAACAGGGGGACTGATAGCAGGACTTGTGACTAAAAGCTTAGGATGGCAATATTACTTCTATCTGACTGGAGCAGCTTATATACTTGGGTTAATCTTCAACCTCATCTTCGTCAACGACTCCCCACAAGACTCCTGGTTTCCCTTCTTACTTTATACAAGATGAGAAATGCTAAATTTCTCTCGGTTTTATTATTAAATTTTACCTAAAACACTTCTCAACAACAGGTACCTGACACAACAAGAGAAAGACTTGATTTTGAAGATGGTGCACACAGAAGATGTTGTTATAGGCAACCCGCAAGTTACAGAGTCGTCTCCATCCAACGCTGAAGATCCACCCATTGAGTGCGAAGAAAGCTGTGAGCCTCCATCTTCACTAAAGTCACTGATCTGTCGACTTTACTTGCTGGCATTTTGCATATATATTCCGGCATACAATCTCATCTATTTCAATCTCCTGAATGTTGTTCCGTTCTACCTTAACAAAGTTTTAGGGGCAGACCCTCTGTTCATATCTTCTTTTAATGTTGCACTTTCTCTGTTGATTGCTTTTTGCACTCTTGCCTTTTCATGTCTTTTTCAAAAATTAGACAAAATGTTGACTTGGTTTAAATGTAGGATGGTATTTGCTCTGCTTCCAATGATTATTCAGATCATAGTTCTAATTAATCTCACCTTTATGAAGACTTTAACAGGAGTTGCTGTTAACCTCACTTTAAGTGCAATTGCAGCGGCTACTTTGTTCAGTGGCTCCGTTTATACGATAAACTATGAGATTGATCCAAAGAACTCCGCATTTCTTGTTTCTGTTTTCAACAGTTTCGGACAGGTATCAGGTTTTGCAGGACCAACACTGATGGCAGCAATAACCACCACAGACCCGGACATACCGAACTATACTGCTGTTTACAAACAGAGGTGGCATTATTTCTTCTACACAGTGGCTGGAGTCGCAGCTTCTGGGTTCATGGCCATTGTACTTGCTTATCTTATTAAACCTGATGAGTGGGTCAACAGAGACAGAGAACAACGTGATCAGAAACACAGAACTCCACAACAATTATAACGTGATCAGAAACATAACACTCCACAACAATTATAACCTTTATTAAACAGAACTCATCTTTATTAATTTGTGACAGCAAATAAATAACGAAATTAAGGGGTTTATTATAATGATATATAGCGTACTTGTGTAAATTATTTAGTTATATTTTATACAATATCTATGTCCCATAGTAGCGGGTAGTAAATACGGTGTTTCGTTTCGTTTCGTACTCTACAAACACAGTACAAACATCGTTCTCTGAAACAGATAAAATTAAATTTGAGCTATTTACAATTTAGACAAATTTTAATGAATCATTAAATGATTGAATTGAAAATTATGTTTTGATCAGCCTAGACAAAAAGTATGAAGTCCTTTTTTCAGAGATTAGATGAATGAACACATTTTTAATTCTTGTCCTGGTGAACTCTCAACGTCCCTATAATCTTATCAGTATCACTAATTGGTTAGCCGATAATGATATCAGGACTTGGCATGATAGTAATTATCTAATTAAGCAATTCAAATTTATTTAGTGACTCACGTGTAGCTCAATACCTTATTCTAACCGTTATCAAACATAAACACGTGACCACGTCCACAGTCATACTCATAGGGCCATTTGATGGAACCTCATCAATTCTTAGATCTCTCCACTTTGACTAAGTTTGCACATAATTTTGGTGATAAATTTATTAACATATTGGTTTGGATCAAACTTTTGTGGTTTAGGGGTCGTTCACATATTACGTAATCAATATTTTGGCAATTTTTACCCCCCCCCCCCTCCGTAATCCACTAATCAACCGTAATCAAGACCGAACCCCCCCCCCCCCCCTATATTACGTAATCAAGATTAGACACCCCCTGCCCCCCCCCCCCCCCCCCCCCATTTTTTGAGTTAAATTTTGATGTAGAGATACAATAAATACACATTATTCATTGCTGTCTGAGACTTGAGAAGATTTTTGTAATATCTTAAATGGTTTATACAAATTCGAAAATAAAAAACGAAAATTTTGATTACATAATTAACGAAAATTGTCCAATTGGTATTTCGAAAATCGGTAAAAAATTAAAATTTTGATTACGTAATCAACGACCAAAACCCCCCCCCCCCCCCCCGTAATCAACCGTAAGCATTTGAAAACCCCCCTCGGCTGATTACGTAATATGTGAACGACCCCTAATAGTCATAATAAGATTAATATTATCGATCGGGCCAAGGCGCTCTTAGTCTTATCTTGAATATTGGACCTGGTTTAAATTGCTAATGCTGCACTGATGGTGATACTGATTATCTTTTAATATAATTGTTGGAAATTTTCACATAACCAACCATGCCAGTTAGTACCTCACCGGCACCTTATTAATTGTTAATATTTTATATCTCTTCCTCTGTGGATGGAGTTATTTTATAGATGTTTAAGTAAATCGGACGATAACCGGTCGCGGTAGGAAAAGCGAGCGTAGGAACTACCGGCGGTAGTCCCTACGCTCGTTTTTCCTACTCATTCACTACTTGCTAATTGAAATGAGTTTAGGTTTAATAAATCAGCCACACTCTGTAGAAATCTCTTTGAGTTTGGGTTGCCTTCTGCCCGATACCTAGCGTACTTCGGGATATAAACTTAAAGGTGGTAGAAAGTGTCCAATTTACTGAGGTTTATCGCATTGTTATTGCCGAGTCACGAGTACTGCCTCCGGGTAGCGATCCTCAATTTATTACAAATAGAAGTAAAGTAAATGGTTGGAAAAGCGAGCGACTAATTTCATTCTCGTTATCATTTTGCATTTGAGAACGGTAATTAAAATTAAAATTGATACCATCTCCTAGTTTTGTTTGGGAAAGGGATATATATAAATCAAAATGGTCAGCCGTTGTTAAAGTTAAACTTAAAACTGATATGTATTAACTGTAACAATTTATACTACAGTAGTGAGTAGTCTAAAGCAAGGAAGCTAAAATGATTATAGCAATAGCTATAATATTGGCAATGGTGGCGCGAGCTCAATCGCTACATTGTTACGATTGTGAAGACGTATATCTGGAAGAAGGGGATTTCCATAAAAATGACTGTGAAGGGAACATTCGTCAGTGTACGGGAAAGGAAGTCTGCTCAACCCTTACTTTAACCTTCCTCACCTATGGTAGTGGCAGGCCCGTGTATAACTATATGAAAGGTTACAGTTGTACGGAAAAGGCAGCTGTGGACTCTGAATGTGACGGTAGAGAATCTGGGCTTGCAGAAATTTACGGATTTACGGATTTTACCTGTGGAGTAGCAACGTGCTATGATGACCTGTGTAACTCAAAGATGTACAGAGGTAAAATATATACGTTTTTAAAGCACATCCTGTAATTCGAGCACATCCAATCACATATGAAACTTTGTAGAAATCTATAGGACGCGCAGTACGGAGCAAAATATGTAAAGGAGTACGCAAGTTAGTAGGTACCGCAAACGCAGATTTACCGCATCGCAAACCCCATGATTTACCTCACTATCAAGCCATCGTTTATTATGAAACTAATTTTATTCATTATTAACGTTACTAAAAAGAATAACAATTGGATTAACTCCAGCTCCAGACGAGTGTGTTGATAAAGCGGATGAGAATGGATCAGACTACAGGGGAACTGTATCTGTCACAGCATCAGGACACGTCTGCCAGAGATGGGACTCTCAATCACCTAATAAACACAGCAGAACTCCTGAGGCCGAGGCGTAAGTTTTCTTGGTGCTTCTAAGGCACAACAGGTAGCTAGTCTCACAGGTGGCCACAATACTGCATAATCCAGATTTAGATTTATTCTTATCCAGATTATTCAGATTTTGGAAGATGAGACATGTACTCTATTTAATCGAGGGTCCTAAATCACTTTACACCCAAACTTCGAAATGTTTCTAAAACGGCTCTCTCGACAGAAGCCAAATTGTTAGTTACGATTTACAACACTACATACTTTAGGAAAATAGCTTATTACAAATACAAAAACATTTTCAGATATTCTGATTCAGGACTGCAAAAGAACTATTGCAGAAATCCAGACGGGTAAGTCTTCAATATCTGATATCTGGTAGTGTTCCATAATCATTGTTATCAAGTCGAGCACAAGGTAGGGGCACAAACATTTACTGTAGATTTAAGTAAAATCTACAATAAAACTGCAATGAAGGGGCTTTGGAATATAAATGATCTGTGAAATTTCTTTTTACTTTTAGGAATTCTCCATTATATAAACATGTGTCATTATTTTCCTCAGTGAATCAGGCGCCTGGTGTTATAATGCTGAGGGAACTGTGCCTCGATGGGAGCTCTGTGATATACCTACATGCATTGGTAAGCATTTTGATCTTCAAACTAAACCATAAATACTCATAATATTATAGCAGAGATCATGTGTGGCGTGTGTCTGTAATGTCTATACTCTCCAAAATTTGATAGGTTGGGTGTGGGTGCAGTTACTTCACTTACTAAGCTGCTCCAGATGTAAGATAAAAATGGTATTATATTCGCTTACTATTTCAGTAAATAGTGCATCTCCATTTCGCACCGTGGATTCGAACGGAGGACAAGTTGCTGCAGGAACAGAGGGTATACTCCTCTACAACGACATGTTAGTATGTGACGATGGATTCAGCAATAACTCAGCAACTGTTATTTGTAGAAATATGGGATTCGGCGGATCAAAATCTTGGAGAAGTGAAGACGACATTGGAATTCCTAGTAACTACGACATCGGACTAGATGAAGTAAGGTGCAAGAACAATTATGACTTGGGCTCCTGTACTTCTGAAACCAGTCATGACTGTGTTCGGATGGAGAGTGTACGCCTCGTTTGTGAATAACTGGTACGTAAGGCTATTTACGTCTTCAGTTTACAAATCAGTGAAACACAATACTGGAGTTTGGCTGTTGATTACGTAATACAAATTTTCTGTTTAACCCTTTAGAATAATAACAATTTGACAATATCCCAATTATTAAAGAAATGAACTCATGACTGCAACCTAGACCTTTGGCTTCATGAGATGCTTGAAAATTAGCTATAATTATATTAGTTAGTTTAATTCCTTTACTTGTTTTGGCTGCATGATATTTTTTAAATATGATATTTATGATATGATATTAATCTATAATCTCTATTTTCGTTTATACATGGGTATGTTTCAAAATATTCTGTTATCTATAATTATATTTAAGTTTAACGCTGCAAAATTGCATTCGTCGTACTTTTCTGTGAACAAATGTTGAGCCCTGGGTTGATATTTTTGATTTGTCCTTCCTATCGACAAAATCAAAGATGATGGGTCGGGCAGCGCCTGACAGTGTGTTATCTAATATGTCGGAATGTTATTTGTTAAAATTAAATTGCATTGAACTTCAAACTAAGTACATGGGTCAAGGGCAACAATAGTGTCAATGAGGCTTCTCACAGCGACATCGGCAAGATGCGCTACTGTGCCGCGCCGAGCTGCCATGAATTGACATCGTCAATTAAGTTTTAATCAATAACTGGCCGCCAAAGCCGCGAATTCTTGAAAACAGGATTAACTTGTTAGTATAATTGAATAGATGTTGCCACTATTTGACCCTAGTAGTTAGGTGGACTATCACAATATATCAAAATGAATAAAAAATAATCTAATAAATAAAAAACAAAATCTGTGAACTGAGATTTATAAACTGTAAGTTAACTCATATTTTTATTTCATTAAACTAAGCCATGTTATTATTATATTTATATTGTTATTACAGAGAAATACATAAGTTTCTTGACTAAGTGGTCAGTTGCAGTACATAACAAACAGTCGGTCGAACGAACGAAGGTTTCACGATTTTTTCCTTTTCACCCTTTTGAAAAAAGGCAATAGTGAAAGGTTACGAATGGAGGTTTTTGCAGAAAAACGTGGATTTTGGGGATTGCAGTAGGTGGGTCAAATATATGTCGTGTTCCTTGCTTACTTACTTACTTACTTCCGTTCGTTACCATGTCAACTTGCCGCGCGCACGCGCGCGAGGATTGCTTGCGGAGATGTGGTGTATAGCTAGTCTGTGGTCAATGAATGCGCGGCACGAGCGTATTTCAATGTATACTAGTAATGTATAGTATTTTGTAATAAGCCCAACTTGAACGTGGCACGCGTAGTGTACTGATGGTTCAATATTATTATTATAAGGTGAGCTGATTAGAGCTTATATTAATAGTTATAGTGAAATGGAAATCTAGCGTCCGCCAAAACGAAACAACGGGCGCAATTCTTGTTACATAATATATATACTATATATGTATTCTGTAAGTGTAAAAATTGGGAAAACTTATAAGATGATTTTAAAAGAAATGTCGTGACGAATTTGACGAGTATGGTGCACTTTTAGGAGATGCAGTCTGCCTTGTGCTATCTCTGCTATTAAAACTACCTACACTGTCAATGTCATTGAAACTACTATTATTCCTGTAACTGTAACTGGGCTGAAAACTCTGAGGATCGCTGATCATATCTTCTATGAAGATGTTATGGGTCACTCTCGGTCGTACTGTTATGTCATATTGTCGGTCTTGTTGATGAGGTGGCTGCTGGCTTAAAAACTCCCTGTTTTGATGAGGAGGTTGGGACTGTGGCCTTGAAGTGTAGTCCGCAGAGGACAATGACCCTTCTATCATCCTAGCGCGACTTCGGGGTACACTTCCAGCTCGTTGATGATTACTGTTGCCATTTTTATGTTCTGCCTCTACTGGGAACACACTCGATTTGGAAAGATTCTGATAGTAAGAAAAGGGACCGGGGTCTGTTCTGTAGGAGAGGTGACAGGGTTTATTCCGGGGTTGTTTCCGGTTAGGTTCCTTGTCCTCCGGGGAAGACTCCCAGCTCGGCGGTGGTTACGTACTCCGGGACCCGGTCCGGACAGGAAGGTGTCCGGTACGGTCGGAGTTTGCTCACTCCGTATGTTCGGAGAGCTCTTAAATTTTGATCGTAGTTTGTCGTTGGAGTTTTGTCTGTAGTGCCCTGGTTTGGGCAAGTTGTCATAGTCGTGGGTCTCAGTCGAACAGTCTGAAATGAAGACAAAGTTAAACGGGCTTGTCATAGAAAATATGGTTTATTTAGCAAAATATAATCATTCAATTTACTATTGTCAAACTCATTACAAAAACTACATCAACATAAAACTTCTCCCGAATATTATTATGCTACTTTCGTTTATAAACTTTGGTCCAGAAAATTGGTCGGTCCATTTCGCATGCTTATTTGATAACACAGTTGTTACAAAATAAAAATTAGCTGTTACCCGTCCATTTGGAGTAAAATACAACCAACCATTTTATCGAGATTTGAAAGAGATATTATCTGTGCCGCAGAAGTAAACTCACATCTGGTATTACTAGATTTAATAAGCAGATCTAATCCTGACATCTTGTCACAAGACAATGTGACAAAAGAGTGGCCTCGATAGTGGACACGTATTTGTGTATAAACACGTGATATTTCATTGAGAGGAAACTTCTGAAACCTCATCAACAAAACTGATGGCATTCTTATATAATATTGTTTAAAATTCTAAGCTATAAGCTAAACAGTAAACACGTCCATCTGAATTCTGATTTAAAAGCCGAAGACTCTTTTACAGCCGCACGACATTGACGGCAATAATTTAAACTTCAAAAAATTTAATTTTGCAACAGGAAAACAGAAATATTCTCAATTTTATAAATTTACGGATAAAAACTTCAAAGTTTCTGAGAGTTCTGAATAAAAAGATAGATCTACACATCTGACAGCTGCTCAGGAGTATGCCTACCTTGCAGATGAGAAATGGGGTGTGGTATCATCGGTTGATATTGAGGAGGTCGAGGATCGGGACGTTTGTTGAGAGACGTATTCGAACCAGCGAAACGAGGGTCAGGATAGAAACCAGGGTCTTGCTGCTGATCTAAGTAGAAGGGTGGAGGAGGGTTGTGATGAGGGCTGCCCCTACCGTACCGATAGTGAACAGTTTCCATATATCGTCTATCCCTCGCTTCTCGAGGATCACGAGAGTTGTCCCGCGGGTCGCGTGAGGAGTCACGCGGCAGATGATCACGTGAGTGCTCGCGGGTGGGGTGATCACGCGCGTGTTCTCGCACAGGATGATCTCTGACCGGGTGATCCCTGGATGGGTCTCTGACAGGGTAGTCTCGAGAGGGATAATTGTTATGACCGGGAGGTCTGTCTCCTCTTTTTCTTTCTCCTCCGCTGTTGGAAGATCTGTTAGAGTGCCTATCTGGTCCCCGAGACATGTTGAGGTCCCGTTCTCTAGGAGTAGTGGGTAACCTATGTTCGATGAAGCCACCATTTCGGTCAGCCGTCTCCTTGTCCCTGAAGAAGTCGCTACTCTTGCTACGTTTGTGATCCACACTATTGTCCATAACATTCCCTCTGCTACCTGGCGCTCGAGGTTGCTCCCTCTCAACTCCACGTACGTTCGCGCGAGACGGAGTGGAGAAGTCACGATCAATTCTAGCTCCAGAGGGTTTGTTACAAGGATGACCTTCCGGAGCCATAGGAGAACTGTTGAAGGAAGGATCCCAATCAGGAGCAGCCAAACTTTGACCCTTACTCCGGGGTACATCCCCTAGTATGGCCGGTTCCAGAAGGGGCACTTTAGGTTCGTCCTTTTTCTTGTTTCCCTTTTTGGAGAAAAAGTTCAGGAAGTTTTTAGATTTAGGTTTATCTTCAGAAGCTGGGCTGGTGTTGGCAGAGTCATCTACTGTTGGTGTAGGAGCTTTTCCATTCTGTAGAGCGATAATAAGACTGTCGTTTATCTTTGGCGGTCCCCTGAGATAGCACAAGATAAGATTACAAACTTCATTAGTTGGTCAGTAAACATCTAGAGCTGATCTTTTAGCTTGATGAACTCAATAAAGGCAAAGCGAGTATACTCCATCATGAAATTGGAACGAGGAATTGTGATGGTTGGAAATGATAAACTCTCTTAAATTAAAAGTTACCTCTGTGTTTCGTCATGGAGGGTGTCGTAAACTGGATCCGTGTCCTTCCCGGAGAAGACACTCTCCTGAGACACACCCTTCTTTAAAATAGGAGCGAATTCCTCTTTGTTTGGTCGTGCAAGTGAGTCATGCGATGATGCTCTCCGTAACAGTGTGTCTGAATGGTTTTAAGTTTAAGAGACCAGCTGCGAATAGTGCATATCGCAACATGATAATAAATATTTTAAAAGATGCAAGAATTTGACAACAAATATTTACTTGGGGTGATGGGACCGTGGTCTATCTTCTTCATGCTCTTCCTAAAGAGGTGATCCCTGTTGAAAGGATCAGCTTGTTCTCCCAGATGTCCAACAAATACCACATCCTCGTCGGACTCCAGAAAGTCTCCAGCTTGGGGTATGCTCTGTATATCTTCACTGAATGCAACTCCCCTTCCTCCGTCAAACTGTGGGCAAATAAGTCATATAACTATAAGACATTTATACACAAAATCAAAGATGGCGGACGAAAATCAAAGGGTTCTTCCTCCCGTTTCAAATAAAGAAACAAGTAAAATTCGAATATGGCGGTTACCCAAACCGGCGAGAAGAGAAAGTTGCTTACCTCAACTTGCTGTTTATGTTTCTTCTTGCGACCGAGGTTAGGAGAGGAGAGGGAGAGAGCACGGTACTTGTTAGGATCCGATGCTAAAGAGCTGGGGTTCATCATCTCCTGGTTACTGTCCTTGAACGAGGAGTACGGTCTGAAGAGAGGTGTTAGAGTTAGAGTTAGAGTTAGAGTTAGAGTTAGAGTTAGAGTTAGAGTTAGAGTTATTCTGTTGTACTTTTTATTGCATGAATCGAAAACCAGTTATTCTGATATATAATGTGCCATTTCCAGGTTTCGATATATGTTCAATGTTCAATAATTTTGGAGCTCAGAAGAGTCACAAGGCTGCATAAAGATGAGTGATTATTACTCACTTGGCAGTTCTCCGCTCAGCAGACATATTCAAACAATCCTTCCTTGAGACTATAAGTGAGAGACTTGGCAACTTGCCGGACCTTTCCAGAGCCTGTTTGAGACTTTGCACTGCCTCTTTGTTAGTTAAACCCTTGAAAATTTGTCCATCAGCTGCTATCAGCTGATCGTCTACTTTCACTCTACCGTCCTGTAAAAATGGCGACGTTACTTTTTTAGACTTGTAAGGGTTCTATTAACAACCAAGGAGAGGGTGAAACTGCATGATGAGAAAGCTCAGTGCTGTAATTGGAGGTGTGAATTCTACCCAATTCTACACTCTAAAAATAATCAGGTAAGATTAAGTTGCAACGAAGACTTGTAAATACGACTAACCAAGTCAGCAGCTCCACCTTTCAGGATAGACTTGATGAATATCCCATAATCACGCCTAGGTTTAATACTCGTACTCTTTCCCTTGACGCTGATTCCCAGTCCAACAGGTCTTCCATCTGGAGCAACTAGTGGTATATCCAGGGAAAGCCTAGTTCGAGAAGAAGTGGGTTGGAGAGGTTTTGGAGGTGGTGGTTGGGGAGGTGGGATGGGTTCTCGGGGTGGAGATGTTTGTACGTCTGACGCCGGCAAGTCGGTGGTGTGGCGCTGTAGGGTTAGTTGTATATTTCCCTTCAGTTCCCGGATCATGGCGACCACAGCTTGCTGGGGCATTCCGACCACACTTTTACCGTTCACCTGGGAGAGGAAATTAAGTTGTCTAGGTATAATAACATGTGACCACTGCAACTCTTCCTTAAGGTAGCAATTGCGAAGGTACCGAATAACGTTACTAACTAATTTATAAATCAATAGGGCGTGTCTAAGTCAAGAAGTTAGTGTGAAAAAAGGATACCAACCTTGAGCAGGACATCGTTAGATTTCATCCTGCCGTCAACCGCAGCTGCCCCATGTCTGTGTACTGTCTTGACAAACAGTGGACTGAATCCCGGACAAGTGGTGTATTCACGGGTTGCTATAGTAAATCCCAATCCTTTCTGACCTGCAATGTTTTCGGAGTTAAACTCACATGAAAATCTTGTATTAGCCATTTTATTGTGCTCAAGCTCGGGATCGAACTTGCTACCTCCGGGATGAAGTGGTCTGGTTTTAATCGCAATAATTATCGAAATTAGCTGGAATTTCATAGCAAAATGAACACTTGTAGAATTTGATAAAGTACAAGGGGCTTAGGCAAAAATTTGGAACGCTTCACGAATTTGCGTGTCATCCTTGCGCAGGGGCCATGCTAATCTTCTCTGTATCGTTCCAATTTTAGTATATGCACTACCGAAGTAGTACAAAGATGGGGGAATTGAATGGATTATATATTCGTGGAAACTATCTTAGCGAGCCATAGGGTCGGGTCTTACACACAGCAATATAAGTGGATGATAAATGACGTATATCTGGTTAATTATTTACATATCTGAAATAACCCACCCTATCTAATACGTTACGCATATACATAATAAATATATTGCTTGTCATGTCATCAGATCAAGAAAATGTCCAACGCAGCGCAGCTTCAACGTAAAAACGTCACCGCGCGCTACGTAAAATGAACCAATTGTGAACATTTCTGGATAAACAAGATGGTCAGTGAATCAGTCATCATTGGTAAATGAACACTGTAATTTGAAGTTCAGACTGCGTTTAAAAATGTAATCCTATTTACCTTTGAACAGGGTTATTTCGAATGAGTCCCTGGTGGTCTGCGACGAGTCCTCAAGATTGTCCGGACAGGATTCTACTGGGGAAAGTAAAACATAATTCGCTTGTAATTGGACAACTCTTGAAAAGTGAACCCAAAAAAGAAAAATAAATTTGATAATTTATGAACCTTCTTTTGTAGTCAATCAAAAGTTGCTTTTATTGTGGATCTTTTCCCGGACTAAAGAATGTTTTTGGGATAAATATAAAAAGCTATCAATTGAAACGTACCTGCAGCGGCTGCAGGCGAGACGGAGCCTGGGGGCTGTCTCTGAATAGCCAATCTAACTTGAGCTGTTGTCGTCATTTCGTTGTACACGTCCAAAACACTAATTGGGATAAGGAGATATCAACAAAATTCGGGGATTTTTCGAGCTTTTGTAAAGTGAAAGATCACATATGGAACTCTTATCATAAATTCTGTGACTCAGAGGCCACCTTAGCATTAAGTCAGTGTTAACATTGCCCTCGTGCCCAATACCAAAATTTCAGCTGATATGTTGTTATGTCATCAGACACTCTCACACTTCTGACGGAATCTAGAGATCATCACATTTCTACAAAACATACAGTCACGTGTTACAGCACTGCAATACCGGAACTGCTACTCATACTCAAATTTAGAGAGTCTGCAACTCTGCAGTGTTTACTAGATATGTTGGCAAGAAAACAGATATGAGCTACATTTAAACAGAAGTTGCAACGAAACTGTTCAGTGTAATGACAATTTGCCTGACGGAAAATTCAGGGCAAGTATCAGCTAATTCTGCATCAGAGCAACAGCGCATACTAAATATTGAATTAGGACCGAGATAAAATTTACAATTTAAAGAACACTTAAATTGAATGAGTGAAAACCCCTATTATATATGAATAGCTAGCGAGACATTTCATTAAGGAATGACCAAAGGACATGCCTCAAAAAGTAATTGAGGGTCCGGGAGGGCTAGTTATGCGGAAAAGACCTGTCAAATGCTTGACAGGAGTTACTTTATATAAATATCTAGCGACATATATGGGCATATATATGGGCATATATAATGCAATATAACTGCATTTCCATTTATTTTCTCGGCAAAGAAAATATTTCTGTATATTCGGAGCTTCGGAGGAGGACACTTGTGACACGTGACAGTGGAACGTATCAAACATATGAGGGGTTGTCACGTGTCAAAACAAAGGTTTCAGCTCCAAGCTAACTCCATCAAAGAGAACAACAAACTAAGAAGAAGGTTATTTTATTCACCTGACCATCGGCATAACGGACAAGTCAACCCCGTTAACTTCAAGAATCTTATCTCCCAGCTTGAGTCTCCCATCCTTCTCCGCTGCACTTCCCTCTTCTATTGACATTATGTAGAGACCAGGCGACCTGGGGGTAAGAGTATTCTGATGGCACCTTCTTTTCTTTTAGATTATAATTGTTTTTCACTATTGTAACCGGACTCTAGGATCAGAAACAGTGAGAGTATCGTTCAGAAAGCGACGGTAAAAAGCCAGCTCATAGGCTCGACAGCTCACCCGTTTAGTCGGTTAATGGCAGCATAAAAATGTAATGGTCATCGCCGATCAACTAATGTTATCGGAGTTACCAGGTTGACGGTGATAGTTATAAGTCTACGAGCATTACAAAATAATCTTTAAAATCTCATAACGCACAATAAATCTGAATACTGATGGGGAGGTGAACTTTATCCTTTCTGACGTAATAGTGATTAACCAATCAGCTTGTAGTAATCAAACCTCAGAATCACTGTCAACTGTCAAAATAAATATGGTTCACCTTCCCACCAGTATCCAGATCTAAGGAATAATGGTTATTTTTTAAATTCATCAGTTTCTGACCTGCCATCAATATGCCGGACATTGCATCCTAACGGTAGGTTATCCTTTTTAATCTCCACCTTGAGCGTGTCTCCTGCCCTGAGCATGATTAGTGATGTTAATTTAACAATTACTGACCAATATAATGCTCTTAAATCACGGAACAAATACCGAACAGGTCGGTGATATTTCATTATGTTTACAGGCCACGCCGTCCAGGCATCCCACTACAATACCGATTGTGGTGGACCAGGGTTAGCGACCAAATCAATTTATATCGTTACAGAGTTACGATATTGTGTAAGGAGACGAGTCCGCGCGTGTGTGTGTGTTTGAAGAGGAAATATTAATTTTGTAGCAGGGTTAAAAGTGTACAGTACATTGTTAGTCAATCAGGATGAAGTCAACCTTCTCTAGTGTAAGTGAGATGTATATTGTGTAGTGCATCTTGTAGTTGGGTGAATAGTTGTGGCGGTGCTGAAATTAAAAGTGAAAGTAAGGTTTACTAAAAACCACATTCATTTAAAACTATCAATGCAATGAATAAATGCAATGAATCAATGCAATATGCGGAATATGCACAGCAAGTTAATATTCAAGACATATATACAATATGTACTATGTAAGGCAACATTCACCGAGGAGAATATGCAACTATTTAATTAAAACTAACCCAGTGGACGATGTAGTCTCCCCCAGAGTACTAGGAACTCCAATACCCCGCTCTGGTCCTTCATCCTCCACCTTTACATTACTATCAATACCACGCTCTCCCCGAGGAGTATCTATACCCCTTTCCTGGGGCACACTATCAATCCCTCTCTCCGCACCTCCTATCTCCCTCTCTGATACCGGCTTTCTGTTTCTAGAAGCTTCTATTCCACGCTCAGGGATAGAGCCGTCTATCTTCCTCTCCACAGCCCGATCAGATGACTGCTGACTGCTACGAGGGGACTGATGACTGCCCTGAGGTGAGCGGTGACTGCTGCTCGGTTGTACTGGACGACTGCTGTCTTGCTCTCGACCTGGAGTCTGAAATGGCAAGTCAGTTATTTAACTTTTTATAAGACTATTTCATATTATTTCAAAGAGTTTATAATAATATGATAGTTCGTGGTACAAAGCACTAAGAAAACAACACTCTGATTAGGTAGTTTGGTGGTGTGAGCTGTCCCCTAAAACATGACACCAGTCGACTTATGCTAAAACTTTAGATTTTTAATTGAATCTCAAAAACCTGCAAAAATACCACAAAAATATTAAATAGACTGTTTGTAAGAATTGTGTTCATCAGCACCAGAAAGGGCAGCTTAGATTTCACTCTTCAGATCTTTAGCTAATTACTCTCAACTGTTGTTAAATCTTTCACACATATACGCTAACATCATCATTATTAATACAAACTCTTACGTTTCACATAATAACATTAGTCCAACCTTTCATTTAAATGATAAATGCTAGTTCATCATTAATATAATAACATCATTAATATAATAACATCATTAATATAATAACATCATTAATATAATAACATCATTAATATAATAACATTATAAAATTAGGAACACCTAGATACGAACCAGCGCTGCAGCTTATATAATTTGAACTATATAATAATCTCCTGGAGTAACTAACTACCATGATCCAGATTTATCAAGCCAATCACACAATACACGAAAAGAGACTGTACACTACTGTGCAACTAATCTTACCTTTTAAGGCACACACTGCTTCCTTATATGGTCATGCTGTGAGGAGCTCTCACTTTCTACCTAAAGACAAGTTATTGGTGCCTGTAAACGGAAACCTTATCTCCATGTGCCGGCTCTTACAATGCTACAAAATAACTGCTTTGTGCTACCCTGATTTTAACAAAACGGCATAAAAATTCACGATGCAAACGATCCTTTGATGGCAGGAAACAAGCACATTACTCAATTATCATCAAAAGGCGATCCCATTATACCTGTATACGGTAAGGTATTCATAGCAAGTTTCTAGTTATTATTACTTTTCCCCTCTTTATTTGTGATCAATATCTCGTGGTGCGTCGAAAATGGCTAATTTGATAATATAACAACAGTTACTGGAGTAATTTATCAATAAATGATACCAGTTAATCGGTAGCTAATCACAATAACGAATATCAGCCAAGTACAAGTTTCTATATAACCACATACAGTACACTACATAATCATATGATAATATACCAGCCTCTCCACCATTAATATAAATCATCCCAGTATATCACCACAACAACAATTACTTAAACAGAAACGAAACAAAACATAAAACAACCAGTATAACTATAACACATTAACAGTTAACGCTAACCGGGGAGGAGCGAGAGGGAGGTCCAGGAGAACTGGGATCACCATCCTGGACCCATCTGTCAATCCAGGCCATCCTCTCCTTGTCGTTGGAAATGGAGAAGTAGCTGCTGTCGTTGATGTTGTTGTTGTTGTTCCGTATATCTGGAGGTAGGGCGGTGGTGTCTCCACTCATGTATCCATCCAAAATACCGTTAATATTCTGAGGTTTGGTGCGCTCTGCACTCTTGTCACTCCCAGCTGCGGAGCTCTCACCCGCTACTTGGTTGAAGATGTTGCGTATCTCGGGGGGTGGGGCGGCGGTGTAGGGAGTCTCTTCCTCAAACTCTGCTACTAACTGAGGGAGAGGGCTGGTGAGAGTGTGGCTCTGAAGCTGCATACTAAGCATATTTTCTACACATCGATACATGGTAATATGTTAATCCAACATACCTTGCCTTGAGATAACTTTAAAGTTAACAGTTTTGGAAGTTCGCGTTGTGGACACAAGTTTTACCAAATAGTTAACAGTTAATTATAGGACGCTTGGAGGAAGAGATTTGGAAACTGAGAAATTTGGACAGAACATTTAAATCCCTGGAGAATACTCTAGAACTGTTGACAGCAAAGTATATATAGGACAAACTTAAGCTAATAATGAAGTTGTCAGTAACGGTAAATTTGCCAAGATTATTAACTAACCTTGTGGGAACAAATTTCTAGGGAGCATGTCAGAACAATTTGCGGTGTACAAAGTTGCAGAAAGGAAATCATGGCACGAGAGAAAAACGATAACAAATAGTGACAGTGTGATTAAAAGTCAGTGGAGTGACGAGCCATTTTGAGAAAATTATTTGAACTTTGAGTAGGAGACAAATTAACTGTTGGAGTTAAAACACCGCTACTCGTGAGATTTGACGTAGTTATTACATTAATGACGCGGACATACGGTGTGTATCTGAGTTACTTTTGCTTCCTTCTTTATAAAATTTGGCAGATACAGTGATACGATTATATCATATTTTCAACAGTCGAGGACCAGAAATGAAAGTGTTTTTGTCTGATTCAATAATGATGGTTTATTCAAGAGATAGGTTATATATAAAGCTCATGGTTACACTGCACTATGTTTATTCGGCGCCGTTGATATGGCCAAGCGTAAAAAAACTCGCCACCTACACACCTATTAGGCGCTCAACATTAAATTTGGGTGATGACTGATGAGCTAAATCATTATTTAAACATTCGTTCCATTATTCTTAACATTCGCTTTAAACACAGATACAGCTCGAAACACAACCTCCGATATTTCACGTACAAGGGATCACTAGCTACTAAGATCACTACAGATTAAACTACTACATATTTTAATTATTACAATTCAACGTACATATTCATCAAATCTCCTAAGTCAATTTAATAAGACTATAGTACAGGAAAGAGAATTGAGGACAATTCACTATTATACTGAGGAAGTAAAATTGTAACCGCATAATAGTACAACATAATATGTAAAATAGTGGGGCATGACACGAGAAAGCAACTAAATCCTTAAAAATAACAGAAAGTAAACAATATCGAATAGAGTAATTCAAATAGTAAATAACTTACAACATCCTTATCAGCCACAACGTCCGACAGAGCGTCATCCAGGTCCAGTATCCCTGCCTCCGAGTGTATATTGTGTACACATATCTTCTCATTAGGGTCCTGTAAAACGGAACATGTTAGACAAGGATTAGAATAATTAGAGGAGCCCCGAGGTTCTTATTGTTGGTGAATATTTACATTCCCTCTGATTGATCAGATTCAATTAAAAAGCAGTATATTACAGTGTTGATCAGATTGAATTAAAAAGCAGTATCGTACGTGACACGTACGATACTGCTTGCCAGTATCAGCTTTCACACGAGAGTATAACTAGGTCTTTATCCACTGTACTGAACAAATCGTTTAAATACAGTTGGCAAGGCCAGTGCAGGATGGAGAGGCCTAGTGTTTGATAAAGTGCCAGTAATTGTGCCGTGTAAGAAACACTATGGTTATGAAGTGATACAGGTGCATGTAAAAGAACATTACAGTTACACTAGTCACTAAGTGCGGTGTAATTTAGCAATTAGAGGTAACCTGTTATGAAACACACGTAAGGTTACTTCGAAGGGGGCAAGTTCCAACAAGTTCCTGAAACCTCACACTCACATTATCAAATTCAATAACGATTCCACACTTAGATCAGATAACTCTGATCAGTAAATTACACACGAGTTAGTAACCCAGATACACCACCAAACTGAGGTTTAGCGGGAAAGAGTGACAGGAACGTGAATTATAAATCACCTTGGAGGAGAGGGTGCTGTCGCCACAAGAAGGCAGCTCCGAAAAATTGACCATGGAGTAGGAATTACTGGCATCAGGACCCATCTCACTTCTGAGCCCCCGGAGTCTCGGCACAGGACTGGTGATGGCAGCCTGGCAACTAGTCCTTCTCAAGAATAAGGCTGGTGAGAGACAGAGAGATTGTTGGGAGCCTAAAAGTGGGGAGCCTAAAAGGGTTTGTTGTGAACCACCTAACGGGGACTTTACCAGGGACTTGTCCTTCAGGGCGTATGTTTTCACGGGCATGTTTTTGTTGAGGTTCCTTGTGAGGGTACCGCTGGTGTTTGGATCCGAAGTAGGTGCTGCAGGGGATGACTCTGGTATGGCCAGGTTCTGTAGTGAGACCCAGTTACTGGGTCGAGGTGGTTTAGAAGGAGGTGGTTCTGAGTGGTTGTGAGGAGGTAGAGGGATCCTCTCTGGTATTTGTGGTGTTCTGAGATTTATGATATTCTGATATATAGGGGGTGGAGGAAGTGGGGGAGGAGGACTTTCTGGTTCTGAAGGAGGAGGAGGAGGAGGAAGCGGAGGAGGAGGACTCTCTGGATCTGAAGTGGAGAGGAGGGAAGTGTGTATCTGATCTAAAGTAAGGGGAGATGATGGGATATGGAGAGTCCTGTCACTGGTGAAGGAGGTTGGAGTAGGGAGACAAGACCTAGGTACAACCGTAGAGGTTGGAGAAGAGACGGAAGATCTCTGTTAGCTGGAAACACTGTTACCAGGTCAACGTCTGGTGAGTCTTCTCCTCTCTGTGGGTCCTCCTGGTGTTCTGATTTGTTGCCAGGGAGTATCTGTGGTTCTGATTCTTCTGGCAGAGAGATGAGATCTTCTTCTCTGCTAAGCGGTAGTATTAGTTCTGACCTTCTTGATGGAGCTGGTGAAAAGGCACACAGTTTTATGAACGTTCTGTATAGTTCATCTTGAGATTCGACGTTACTGCAATACGTCACAAAGTCCAGGTCTTCTTCTTCTTCAATTATCAAATCATCCATTTTCTAACATCACCAACACAAAGCAGCTTCTCGTCAGCAGCTGGCAATCGTTCTTCTTACTTCAATCTTCCCTTAAGCTTCATGAACTCTTCTGGAATCAATCCAATCTGTTCAATTGTAAACAAGAGCCACAACAACTGCTAAAACACAACTTTACAGAGTGTTATATTATCACAACGCAACACAAAAACTCGAACAGTTCATTAAACAGCACACAGAAACTACACGGAGTTAATGGACTGAGGAGCACACGCGACAATACAAAGGCAATGGTAGTGTGTTGTCAGTTTCTACAACTCTCCAGCCCGGGCTCCTCTAGGAATGTGAGGTATCATCTTACTCTAATGAGGGGGAGGCTAATGTGATTATCAGTGCAACATGTGGGGATGGAGAGAGGGAGAGAGAGAGGCGGGGGCTTATTATTATTATTGTGGAACTGACATCATCAGTGATGGGTAGTGTTCACGTGATCTCATGTCACAAGTCATCAGGGGTGAAGTGACGTGTCTGTGAAATAAAGGCTGGGAAATGGGGCAGTTGTCGTGCAATTGGTGGAGGAATCTAGGTGAAATTCAATCAGGTAATTACTAATTAGGTCAGGGACTAAACCGTTATTTTAAACGTCAGACAGACACAAAGGTCTGTCGTAAGTTCGCACGGTAATACACAAAAGCACAAAGAGGGGGCCGGGGGGAGTTACACTGTACAAGGTGTTCCACTTCAAGTTCAAAGGGCGGGAGTAAGAATAACACCAGACTCCTGGAGCCTGACCTTGAGTTTGTAAGAAGACAGACAGACATGGCCCATTTAGACAAAACCGTTGGCTAAGTGGGGCAGAAACGTATTTAAACAACATGGAGTACAAGTTGATAACTAATAACGTAGCAAATAAAATAATATAAAATAGTGTAACATTGACTTTATTACTAACGTATCATGTAACACTAGTTGTCACAGATCCAAACAAATGAAAGCTAAAAGCCACACAGAATTTAACAAAGGCTGTAAATCCATAGGTCATTCTGACCTATGGAAGTGAGATATGGAACACGACTCAAGTGCAGACAAGAAGATTAGAGTCTTTCCATCAGTACTGCTTACGCAGAATCCTGAGAGTGAGGTGGTTCCATCGAGTAAGAAATGAAGATGTTTTAAGAAGGGCTTCAATAACTGCTCTTACTGACATAATAGCAACAAAACGGCTACGTTGGTTTGGACATGTCAGTAGAATGCCTGAAGATCGGTTACCTAACTATCTACTTGAATGGAAACCCAAGCATGGGAAACGATCAAGAGGCAGGCCTAGGAAGAGCTTAAATGATGTATTTATTGAAGATGCTGAGCAGAGATTGGATCGTAATGGACTCACGATTGATTGTATGAGAAGATTGGCTGCAGATCGAAAAGGATGGAGAAATATTACCCGCCGAAGTTGTATAATACAAAGTAATGACGCAGATGACGCAGACTAATCCTTTTGGATGGAGATCTCGCCATGTAACATGTATGTATGTAAATCCATGATCAAGGGTCCTCAGATAAAATAAAAACATCAGCCAATATCGGCCATTACAGTGTGAGGCAATACAAACAGTGTACCACACAATATAGAACAACCTACACATGAGAAATAGGCCCGGCAGGCTCACTACTGAATATGTAATTGAGGAGAAGCAGGCTTTTAACGCAACTCCGTATATCATAAGCACACAGTGTCCGTCTCAAGATCTGAGACAATCTGATGACCATTGACCGGCTCTCTGGGAATGACCAACGTGCATATTGGAACGCTGGTGACCTAACTATATACGCAGATGTATTATATGTTTAGTCATTCCAGCAGGAGCAGCCATGAATTGGATGAGTTGCAGTTGCAGATTTAATCAAAGTCTGAGCAGCAATGACTCCGCCCTCATATGTTTAAAAGTTGGGAATAATTTAATCTAATCGGCGGGATTCAGTTACTTGGCAGTCGCAGCCGCAGCAATGCATTGAGCTCAACAGGTAACAATAGTGGAAATTAAGATGGCAAAGTCTTCAGAGTACTTGAAGCAACAAGCCGAGGCAGTGGTGCAGCACAATACGGGAGTAGACGGAAAGAAATATGTCGCACCTGGGCAGGGCCTGTTGAAACAGACACGGCACTTGCAGCTTCAACACTGATAACGAGGATGGAACATGTTCCTAGGGTCCTGTTTTTGCCAAATTTACAGAGACTAGTAGTCTCCTTAAATTAAGGAATCTGAACTTGGCGTTCAGAAAGCTTTGCTTGTTGCAAATAAGTTTAAGTTTGCCAACAACTGAAAGCTAATGCGAGACTTAAATGGAAACCAATTTCCAATAAACCAGACGAGACGAAACCATTTTGTAAATTTAACCTAATAATAGGGATCTCGACTGAAGGTTCTGCATACTTCAGAAATTGGTGGTTATAAATGGTTTACTTTCCAGATATTGACCACCGATTTCGACAAAAACCACAATTTATAATTTACTGTTTTGAAGATAAAGTGCTGTTGTGCGGTCAAGAGACCGACCAGTAAAGCACAGAGAGAGAGAGATTGACCGTGACAAGAGAACAACAAGCAAACAGTGCAGCGAGCTGAGTCTGCACAATGATACTGAGAGCTGTCTGCTCACGCATATATAATGTACAATCACGCAACTATACTTGAAATGTGACACATTACCAGCTGATAAATTATGCAAACAAGTGAATATTATAATATGGTCAAATAAAGTAAAAAGTATTATTATAAATAGGCCCTGACTGGATTTCCTGTTGAACCTGAACCCGATGGGATATCCGGCTACAAAATATCTTAGATTCCAAAAAAAATAGCTCGGATTCTTAAAAATATCTTAAATTACAAAAAAATACCTCAGAATTGAAAAGTAACCTAATTTCATTAAGTACAACAACATTTTTCCGTGAAAATTCATACTTATAATTTGTAAAATCACATACTACGTTACAAGTCACTATAGGGTTCGAGGGGCACGCTTGATAGATTGACAAATGAAAGAAATATTATACAAGCTGTCTTGAGAAAATTGACTTATGTCTACAAACTTATCAGCAATATTATGATAATATCGTATCATGTTATATCCTTTAAAATTCCAAAAAACTGTAGTTATTTAAACCCAAATAGCTGCGTTATTGTGAACAAGGAAACAACTGGATTTCCGGGTGAATCTGGTCGAGATGGAATATCCGGCTCAAAAATACCTCAGATCCAAATTCCAACATTCTGAGATGGCAGATGATTCGTAAAATGCTCTTAATTGTATGCAGTTTTTGGGTGGGGGAAATCTCTGTTCTGCCACAACAAAAATGCATTTCCTCCTCAACAATGCCAAATATGTTATTAGAGATTCGTTGGGTTTGTATTGGATATTTTCAGGTTCATATACAGAAAAAATTCAGCAGGCTACAAACCCCTAGATTGTTCAGTTATAGAAAATATTAATGATACATACCGCAGAGTTGGAAGCAAATGAGTTGATGGAGATACTGATAGGCATACCAACAACTTCACCTCCGTCAGTAACCAGTTCATCACAAGGAGGGGGCATCTTCTTATCTGCTTCTCTATCATCAGAGTGACAGGTTGAAGTACGGGGAGAAGAGGATCTCTTCCTAAACGAAAAGATTTTGGAAACTATGCGATCTTCTGGGGAGTTAGAGACAGCATCCTCTAGTTGAGTGGAGGTATGAGATGAGCTGGACCGGTGATCTGATCTGGTCCTAGCGGGTTTAGAACGGGTTTTGTGTCTGAGTTTAGGAGTGGGAAGAGTAGAGTACGATTTGGACTGGATATGTAGTCTGTTATTCCTCTTGGAGGGTACAGTCGAGTACCCGGAGTGCAATTCTGACTGGGATAATAGTTGACCTGCCCAGATGGTCCTGTCACATTTCCTATCATGTGATCTGTCATGTGATCTGTCATCACTAGAATCTCTGTCTCTGATAGGGCTAAGAGAACTTGTTGTTGTCTCGACTGAAGACTGTCTTAAGCATCTAGGTAATGAAGAAACTACCCTGGGTTGAGACCGGAGGTTGTCTCCATTACATGACGAGCTGTTCTCTTGAATCTCCTGAAGGTTGAGCTGCCAACGGCGCAGTTTGGCGGCTATGTAGCGCTGTTGTCGCAGTTCAAGTACCACATCCAGTGGTTCATCTACCATCTTACTCGCACATCACTCTCTGTGTACAGCTAATTTTATAATCAAACAGGTCAAAATCAACATTAATTTTATATTCTATACTACACGAAAATATGAGATTTAATAGAATTGTGAACGTTGAAAAATTATAGTAAAAATAAGCAAGGAATACAAAACGATTACAAAGTAAAGTTAGGAATGTGGAACAAAGGGCACAGAAACCATGATACAGCCACCAGTGAGAGAAGAAACAAAGTTATGATACGATTATAGCTGGACCAGGCAAACTAATATACGGGCTCCAGATCTGTACTATCCGTATCTTAGCAACGGGTTGATTATCACTGAACCTTGGGAGCCAGTACTGGAACATCAAGATGATGGCATCGCTGTACGGGGTAAATAATAATGCAAATTTTCACATTTTAAAGACAAAATCGAGTGACTGGCAAAAGTAAAAGAAGTGTCCAACGACTGATTACTTTGCTAAACCTTCTTTTTTACACCATTATATTATCAGTGGGTCATAATCCAAGTTGTAAAAATGCATTTCTTGGAAGCTTTTAAATACACGACACGTAATAAGCTAATAAACCCACTACCCGGCATTTAGATTAAATTAAATGAAGGACAAAATTAATTAAATGATTAATTTAAATTCCAACACCACGTAGCGTAAATATGTAAATAGTGTTACAAGAGTAACACATTTATTACGAGTAACCAAAGGTTTAGTGATTAGAAAAGTGTAATGAGAAACCCGACACTAATAATAATACATAGAGTCCACCAAACTATCTCGAAGGGGTATTCGGCCAGCTGGTGACTCTGAACTAGGGATGTACACGGATTTCTACATTTGAGATTAGCAATGCAGAAAGTTGGACTGCTAGACAATGAGCTTGGTAGAACATGGTATTTGTTATTCGAATTTCTAATGTTGTCTCCAGGAAACCATTTTAAACAGTCGCAATTCATTCAATTAAGCTAGAAAAGGTGTTGGCCAAAACCCAAACAACAAATAAATTTAAAATTCCTACAGGCTATAACCAGTGTATAGCAGTAATAATATCATGTAATGATACCATGAAATATGTACCGATAAATAAAGGGATCCCAACGGCCTTAACAAATCTAATCAATATTATATTAGGTGCACGCAAGATACTAAAGATACTGTGGAGTTTAGAGAATATGATACATAATTAAATGTACGTTCTCACTGAGTAGAAATAACGAGATGAATTAAAGCAGCAGCTCACAGCAGCAACTAAAAGCAGCAACTTGAACTAAAACTAACACTGAAAACCATTACCACACAACTTAAAACCTTGACCACAAACCAGACACACAGCTAGAGTAATTTGTACAACAAACAATCTACAATGTGCTCCTCCTCCTTCTCCTCTCAGAGGAGAGATATGTGCACAGATTTACAAGGAGAATCAACAAGCAGGTAATCAGAAACAGAGAACACTTACTACATGATGGAGGTGGAGGAGCGAGGAGGAGAGACAATAGATCTAGCCCCGGGAATTATAGTCGCTCTAGAATGTAGTATCACATTGTTGACATGCCATCATGAGGTATTTGGCATGAATGTACGACGTACGCTGTGTACTGTGTAGTGTGTGTGTAAGTAAGATTGAGAGTAATGTTACACATGGTTTGTTTATGTTGTTAGAGTGATCTCTGCCAGCCAATTCAGATGTACACTACAAGGATTTCATGAGGTATGAAGTACAAAGAACCAGAGCTCACCTCCATTAGAGTGCTAATGGAACTAATTGTAACACTCCACACTTCACAGCTACATCAGAGTTCAACCTATTTTGACTACATGAAAGTGAGAAGGCAGAGGGGTTGATGGATGAATAATTGTCCAGTGCCAATCCCGATTCAATGACTCCTTTTCCCTGGAATCCATTTACCGGTACCCTAGCCACTAGAACCCATATTAAGGAAAACAGGTAATAGTGTCCCAGTGTCTGCATGGTGATAATATTTCTTTAAGTAATACTACTACTACCAGGAAGTTTGTTTTTTTCGCTCAACTAGACTGTAACTTAAAGCATGAACTTTAACAAGTGAGGCTCATTACGATGGTTTCATTAGTTAAATGCAGTGCAATGGTGAGAAGCAGAGGCACATATTAGGTGCGATGGGTGCGGGATCGCACAATTTATCGTTTTCCGCACATGTCCGCATAATTTATTGTTTTCCGCACATTTTGTAATTTTCTGCATATTTCCGCATAATCTAGCATTTTCCGCGTAATTTCGCATAATTTTGAAATTTTCGCGTTAAGATTTTCGAGTGTAAAAACCAAAATATGTTATAGTCGGGCCCTTTTAGGACCGTGTCTCAGGCCCTTTCGGGACCCTGACCCAGGCCCTTTTAGGACCGTGACTCAGGGCCTTTCGGGACCCTGACCCAGGCCCTTTTAGGACCGTGATTCAGGTCCTTTCGGGACCGTGACCCAGGCCCTTTTGGAACTCATACCTAGGCCACGTGACCCAGTTACCACGTGACACAGGCCCTTTCGGGACCCTGACCCAGGCCCTTTCGGGACCGTGACCCAGGCCCTTTTGGAACTCATGCCTAGGCCACGTGACCCAGTTACCACGTGACACAGGCCCTTTCGGGACCCTGACCCAGGCCCTTTCGGGACCGTGACCCAGGCCCTTTCGGGACCGTTACCCAGGCCCTTTTGGGACCGTGACCCAGGCCCTTTCGGGACCGTTACCCAGGCCCTTTCGGGACCGTGATCCAGGCCCTTTCGGACCGTGACCCAGGCCCTTTCGGGACCGTGACCCAGGCCGTTATGAAACCCTCGTCGTTACCATACTTTGATTATAGTTTATCAGTTATCATTCGTAACTTCACCACATCATCTGATTACTCTAAGTCACTGTTCTCAGATAAATGAATCTCAATATAGGTTCAATCATGGTCTTAGTAAAGAACTACACCCTCAGTAACACATAAACAGACCTATTTTTGATAAGAGCGGCGGTTATACGTTTAGAATTTCCAAAGTCCTTGAGAAAATGCAAAAGAAAACTGCACAATTCCCGCACAAATTTCGAAAAAATCGCCGCACATTTGCCGCATAATTGGTAAAAATTTACCGCAACTTACCGCACATTTTACCTTTATAGTCGGGTGCGGTACCGCATAATTTCGATTTTTTTACCGCACCTAATATGTGCCTCTGGTGAGAAGTTGCATATTGAGGGTGGTTATACAGTTCAGGGGCGGAAGTAGTACAAGCAAGCGAGGACAACCAAAAATAGCTTTAGGTTTAGTGTCGATGTGAAGCAATGAGTAATGACTAGGTAGTGCTACTGATGATAAAATTCAAATAAGGTCAAAATACAAATATTACAAAACCATACAGATGGTATGTCGTTATGAGTACCCACTCGAAAACGACTCTCTGATAAAGATGAAAGGAACCTAATTAGCAATTACAAACATGAAATTAAATTGATATCTTCATGATAAATTAATCAAATCAAAACATACCTTTTTAGATATTTTCCTGTATCTGGCGATGGATTTGTCGGTCAATTGAGCAACAGTCATGCTGCCCTCCCCAACAGGTACCAGGATTCTCGTGTTCCCAAAACATACCGTTACTTTCATCAGTGTTCATAAGTCTAAAGGTAATGTGGTTAGGAATGTGCTTTCTGTGAGCGGATATTTTCTGAATATTACAGAAAATAAGACGTGAAAAGTATTTCTGAGTTCACAGGTCTACAGCACAAGTTTAATGAGATTACTTTTGAGGAATTTTTTTATGGGAACTCCGATAATCCGATTTTCGGAAGGAAAACGTATAAGTTGGAAGAATACCGAATTTGGCCGATATCTTATTTTGGAGTCAGTGAAATGCGAGAATGAATCAACTTATAAAATTAAGAAATACAAATTTTCAACCGCAAACCATTTTATCACTATCAAATTACAAATAATCATTTGCGAATATACAAATATAAATATATAACATCGACGTAATATTATGCTTTAATATAAATGTATTATTATAAGTTTTAAAGATTAATTCTCGAAAATGTATCAGTATAAAATAACAGTGAAAAAGACAGTGTCGCATAAAAGTAGAAACAATTATATGACAACAACAAGCTATAAAAGGGTAAAGTGATATTATTGTTATGTCACGAGTGAAATTGCCAAAATCAAAAGAAGTTTCATGCATGTTAAAACATGATATGAGAACAAAGATAAGATTATCAAGAACAGAGATAACAGAATAAAGATAAGACTATATATTACCTGATCCTTAAATACAAAGTTCCAAATTTATGTTCGTAACAACCAACTCACAAAACACTGCATTACCAACAAAGGTATGAATATCTGCAGAAGTTTACTCCTGACCCCCTGGATTCGATTTTAAATACAATAACGGACCAGATCTACTGACATGATTCTGTTAGGCGTGTGACCAGAGGAGACACGGTCAACTCGTTAAGCTTATACCAGAGCAAAATATCAGTTAGCAGACCTAGAGTTGCTCCTGCACCAGGGGTACAGACCCATTAGCATACCTCTGTTATTTGGACAATGTTTCGGATACCCTAATCTGGGTTGAAATCTGCGATCTTGTTTGGAGCCTTAAATCCAATATAATATTATATGTATACTTCGTAAAGTCGAGATAAATGATGTAATTTACTTTAGAAAAAGTCAGCTAAATTCGTTTTATTTCTTTAACGAAAATGAAATTTCCAGCCTTTGTATTAAATAAACTGTTACCTTAAAATTGGCTTGACATGAATATGATATGACAATTATGTCATATTTTTCATACATTATAAATATCATGAAATTGTAAATATTTGATAATAATAAGCTTAGAAAAAATGCAATGTTAAGAGTAGATACAACTTAAAACTGATTAGATCATGATTTAATTTAACTATTACAATAAAATATTTGGCTCAAAAATGACTTATGAATCAGTCTGAGGCATTCATGACTTATTTCACTAAAGGAAAAATAACAAACATGATAAAGATTTAAACTATAATATTATGATCAATTAATAACGATTTTAAGATTAAATCCATATTGCTGTTTATAAGAAAAATCAAAATATTACTGATCATAAATTTTCTTTACCTACTTCAAAACACCATCCACAATAAACCTTAGAGCATATAACGTTACACATATAATGACATTATCACGCATTACAATATACATACAATCATCGTTTATAACTCTCCTGTTTGACGTAACGTGTATGTAATGTGACGTCACGTCACGTGTTTATAATATGACATCACGTAATTTACCTTTTTCCAAACTTGTCGATGGAAGCAGTGGACGGAGCAGCATGCTGCTTAGCCAGTACCCCTATCTTTATACTGTTATCTATCTCCCTGAACTGAACGTCCCATTTAGGGTTGTAGAGGAACGGTCTCATGTCGAACCTGTGAAGATAGGAGATAAGAGATAAGAGACAAGAGACAAGAGATAAGAGACAAGAGATAAGAGGGACATCTGTTAAGGTATAACAACTATAAAGGGTACAGACCAATAGTTGGAAGGTAGGGCGCTCAGTGGACCATGCTAGAAAATTAGAGTGAGCAGCTCCTAAAAGGAAGCAGCTGGCTCTGCTCTGACTGTTTACAAATGTTTTTTACTGAATTGTTTTATGCATGAGTACATTGTGATACATTATCATTTATTATGATTATGTTTTCTCAGCCTGTATTTCTGTACTATAACGTAATATAGCTCAGACATTTAGAGAACAGAAGCTGTGACCAAAAAATGAAATAACCAGCGGTGGAAGTTCAGACTGTACAGCCGAATGATTGGGGAGTAGGTCATCGGGAAGAGAAAGAAATAGATGAGGGAATAGTGCTGTCATCATATATCACCAACAACATCAATTCAACAAACAATATCAAAACACAAAACTGTTGTGAAACGACAGAATCAGTTTTTATAAAATTCTGCAAAGCTCCCAGATGCAGATGTATATTTTGATCAAACTAATCTACAGACCCAAGGGCCACCTGACTCACTGACTAGTGACTGGTGACAAATGTGATTTACCAGAAATATTCATTCCCAAGGTCATTAGGCTACACAAAGTAAGAAAGTGTGTCATACCCTGACACACACACACACACACACACACACACACACACACAAAACACATCGCATTGTACTGAAATAAAAGTATCGTGTTTCTTTGAATGCTAGTACAGATCTACGAATTCATATTGAATGTGATAAACTAATTAAAGCACTACTTATTATATACTACATTTATTGAGGACGTTACACCACGAGTTTATTTAATGTAGTTCAAATGGTTCTAGAAACTTCTTCGTGTCCAAGAGTGGCCTCTCTCCTATATAAAATGAACTGATTGAAGGAACAAAGAACACTAACTACAGGGTGTTCACGAAACATTGGTACGGTTTTAAAGAGCTAGATAGAGCGAGCAGCTCTATCTAGCTCTTATTTTCTTTGTAAATTGGTTAGAATTTTTTTCCGATATCAAAATTTTACATAACTTTCGAAAGTTCGTATATTTTGCTGCAAGGCTCTTGAAATATGCTCTTGTCAATGCCTATTATGATGCCATACTATCTCCCTATTTATCTTGCACTGCACTGATAAATATGTTTGTCTGCTGAGTTGCTCTCTTATCAGCTTGCTTATCTCGTTACCCTGACCGTGACTCGACTGTGTGCGGTGCTATAAAATGACAGCCGTGGATTACAAATATATCGACGATCTGCTGGATAAAGCGGATATTTGGCTCTGTATAACTATGTAACAGTTTGGTTGTGCCGGTCCAGTTGATTTTACGTTTGTGCCAGAAACCAGGAATTTTGAAGAACAATTATGCAGTTTTAGTCGCTGAATCGTTTCTTATTTAATCCGGTTTAAAAAAGTAAAGTTTAACGCTGAAAAAGCAGCAACAAGTGTCAGCTGATTTAATAGCAGAAGACAGTTAGCATATCTTAAATGCAGCAGCTACATATGCATTATAGGTAGTTCAGACTTCAGGAGAGGACACTGTTAAGGAATAATTGGAAACCTACAGCAACGACACTTTGCAGGAGAATGTAATTGTATGTCAATCTGAATTCTGAAGGCGTTGTTTCCAAAACTTTGAAAAGTCGAAACAGTTAGTATAGCAAAGAGAAGGACCGCAGCAAATAACATTACAAAGCTCCCTAATAAATAAAAAGATCATTTCAGTGTGTGATAGAACTCAGTTGAGTGGGAATGAAAGGCAAGAAAATATGTTAGCGACAAGTCAACATCAGTCTTCAGCAACACCCGTTAGATTCTCACTTAAGATTGGAACTCAGTATTTTGAAGTAACAACATTCGATCACGAAGTTACAACATTCGAGTCCGACGCAAAACTTATTGCTTTCGCATGTTTTACTTTTCTAGCTCAATTGTTGCAGGATTGAGGTCGCACATTTTGAGGACGAATTTTTTTTGTGTGAAGTGCCTTAAAGGAGGGATAATTCTCAATTTATCAACAAACAAACAAAAATGTGTAAATCGTGTAATATCCCCAATATCTACAAAATAAGAGATCTAATGAGTAAAACATTGCAAATGAATTGATTTTCATGTGAATTGTGAAGGTAACTGTACAACATTATTTCCACAATATCTCACAAAATCTTCTAACCTGTTATCATCAGGACAGTACAGCTCACAGAGGTAGGAAGGTGTGATGACACAAGCTTTGTGCCGGTTTATAGCGTACTTCTGGAAGAAGAGCTTCACTTTGTCTCCCAACTCTTTGGGCTGCATAGTCCACATACAGGCTAACCTGGGGAGGCAATGTCTGGTCAGTTATCAGGTGCTAATTCAGAGAGGTGATACACCATCAATTACCAGATCAATTATCAGGTGGTTACCAGACAACTGTGCTGGATAATATATAGACTACAAGGTCTTAGGTCTTACAGTTGAAGTGAGGCTTCACTTGTACACCAAAACAAACTTTAGCATGTTCAAGATAAGATGTTAGAGACACACCTCTTATACATGAAGTACGGGCCACATCGGTCTATTTTCCTGAGTTTGCCGATATCATTGAGCTCATTGTAAGTGAGTCCTATATCTTGTTCATCAGTTTGAGTGTAGTTATCACTGATGGGCTCTAGTTCAGCAGTGGGCACTGCCGTCAGGAAATTGTCTATACTCGGGAACCCAAACATCTGTAGAAAATTATAAATAAAAGTAACCTTAGAAAAAATCCGATTTTTCTTTTTTTTAAACAAATAGACACAAGATTCAAAATACGAAAGTTACGGATCTAGTTTCATGTTAACTTAATAAAAACATTTTTATCAACAAACCTCCTTGCTGTGAGCAACAAAAGCGTTGAGATCCTTCTTACAAATGCTGCCAATAGGGTTGAGATCACCACTGGAACAGTCATACTTAGTCAGGTACCCTACCAGACTCTCATCTACATTAGCAGACGACAGGACCAGAAGAGAACCCGACTTGCCCCGGGCCCAGTTTATCAGCTGAGCGAACAGGTACCCGGTCACCATGCGTACTCGTGCCTGAGAGTGACAGGGTGTGATCAGGGGTGTGATTAAGGGTGTGATCAGGGGTGTGAGTGAGAGGGTGTGAGTGAGTGGGTGAGTGAGTGGGTGTGATTTTAAATTTAAGGTTGAAATATTTTTGAAATTACTTACTAGAGTATTTAAGAACAACTACAATTATTGTTCAATTTTTACTAGTTTTTTCTCACAGTCTGCTCACTCTGCTGCTTCAAACAAACACCGCACACAAATAACTCCAATCTTAACTTGCTATATATACATGTTAAACGTAAATTTCAATCAATGTATCCTCCCGAATACTTGGTTTAATACGTCACACTGTTATTTTTTCGAGATTATGTCACGTTTATTATAGCGTGTCAAGCTACGCCTCTCTCAACTTCTCAAGAGAGTCCAGTGTGTCGCCAGCTAATTCGTGGGCATGTAGCATGTGATCCATATATCGTGTGACAAATGTATAATATTTGATAAGAAGCAGTCAATTATGCCGTTGAACTGGCATGTAATAAGCTGAGCGAACGGAGTAAGGTTATGAAGGTTGTGAATATGAGATATTAGTACACTACATTTTATCACTATTCTAGTTGGGGATATGTCAATATTCACTTAAGCGTTATCAGCAACTTGCTGAGGGTTGACAAGCTTAGTTGTCACAATTTTAGGCTCTTGTATTTCAGATGAGGAAATGTTTAGAAGATGCAGGGTTTAATAATCTAAATTAAAATCTTGTCTTCATCACCTAGAACCAACACTCAACCTGAGCTATAGATAGATCTGGATACTGTTGGAGAGGTGAACCATAATAACATGTAGTTCCAGCAAAGTGGCAGTATTTCTCAGTTTTTATTTATTTATTCATATTAATTTATTGCTGAGTCCACTACAAGTGTCAGGAAAAAAATGGTTCAGTTCCTCAACATTATCTGTAGAATCAGATACAATAGCAGCGGAGAGTAGTTCATAACACATTAAGACACATTAAGTCTACTCATAGGAAATATTGGAGTTGTAATCGTGCAGACACTGGTTTCCTGGACTCCACAGAACCACTAATATAACACAGGGTGTGTAGATCTGTCTATACTGCAGGCAACTTATCTCTACAGCTAATCAGGAATGTTATACATACCACACTACGTTTATTTTATGTTTACTGGAATTACTGGAATCTGGATTCTGGATGTAGAATTACAACTTACACTGGTTTCATTAGTAGTATACTGCTTACTATTTCTGTAGTAGACGGTTAGGGCTCTTGTGTCTACTTTAGTGTCCACTACTTCAGGTAGTTACTAAACTCAAGGTAGGAACTGAGTTATGTAAACTTATATATTATTGGCTTAACTTGTATATATATTATATATATATATTATTTAAATGTAATATCAGTACATCCTAATAATATGTAAAGCAGTAAGTAATGATACCTGGAATACACAGACAAAAGCGAATTCGAGAATGTTACCAAATAGTCTAGAAGTTACACAGGCTTAACATGTGGATGTGTCTTGTAACATTCCGTGGTTAGGCGGTGCTTGACTAAACATCAGTGTTAAATGTAACCTTCTATTTTAGTATGAAATCTAGAAATATAACGCTCCCAACTGTGGTGAACACATTCCTAAGTTACACACAGAACATTCAGGCTGACTAGATGGAATATTGGCTAGCTGCCAGTGTTTGGTATTGAACAATGAAACTAATGTTTTGTTTGTTGAACGTTTCCCCGCACCAGGTGTGTAACACAGGTGAACTAAACAGTGGTTACTGGTTACCTGTTATACTATGTATAAAGTTCACACTCACACTGAGTACAGACCCCTCGCAGACTAAATGTGTTTTATTTGGACAATGACAGGAAACACGCTATTGAGGATTTTCCTCAAAAGAAAGAGGTACAGACTTAGGATAATTCATTACACATGCAGTGACACTGTGACACCAGTCATTACTTATAAACCTCAGAGAGCCGCTCTCCTACCGTTAATCTAATCAAGGCACTAAACAACCGTTGCTACGAGAATTATGCGAGGTACCTGGTGTTTTAGAGTGCTACTATCTCAACTGACAAGGCTAAATATAGGTTTATGGGTTAGGTTAACAGATCTTGCTAGACACTAATACTGTGTGGTAGGCGATGCACGGCTGGTTTCAAATTCTATAAATATAATTAATATATGCTATTATGTAATATGTATGCTATTAATATAGAATGTAAATATCGAAATGCCAAAATCTCGTATTTCCAACGACCTGGACCGGCTAAGTATATGTTATAGTAGTAGTATAGGTAGTATAGTATAGTATTAAGTATAGGTTATCAGATATTACTAAACAGTCGGTTGGCAGTGCACGGCTGTTTCAGCCATGTGACACATTTCAATCTACTGATAAATACCTGAATATTTTGAAGTGCCACATTCTCTACTGGTGATCCACCATGCGCCTTGAACTGGGGTGTTTTGTCCGTGAAGAGAGAAAACACCGTCATGATAGCCTTTATAATACCGTCTATGTTTATCTGAAACAGGAGGGTTATCTTACTACACTAATGGTCAATGGATATTGTATTATGTTGGTTTATAACGTTCTTAAGAATCAATCTGGGTTCTTAAGAACCATTCAAGTACAACTCAGACTATTTCAACATTAAAATGGACAATAACAAGACTCCGAGTTAGTGGCATTATATTACCATCAGCCCCAACCTCATGACCCAAATTAGAATCTATACAATACCAGCCGAGTGTTATTTATAGTGCATACTGAGTGATGGTAAGTAACCTGATCAGCAGATTAGAAAACAAGGGGCCGTGTATTAGCCAATACTCACGTTCACATGATAACTGCCGATGTCGTGAGAGAGCGCTCCAGCGCGCTTCTCTGTCTCCTTGCTCGAGTTACTAGTTCCCATGTAGGCAGTAACAAGTATCTTCTCACACAGCTCCGCAGGGTCGGTAGGAGTGTAGTTAGGGAGACGCGTTAGTGAGCGCACGTCGCGCAGCACCTGGTTATCATTGTCTTCCCCCACCGCGTACACGACCATGTGACACATGCTGCTGACGATCAGAGCGACACTCGCACTGTCAATACCTCCACTGAGGGGGAGGAAGAAGCCGGCCATCTTGCTGCGGCGCAGGTAGTCCCAGAGCCAGGAAGGCGGGCCCGTAACATATCTCCTCCTCAGGGGTGTGATATCTGAGAGAGATATGTCAGGATACACATTACACTAGCTTCTGTTTACGTTAGCTATTATACGTCATGATGTATGATGGGGTTACTCGTGTTAAAATAAACAAACCACTGGACAGACTTGCACCCAAAAGCCCCAGACTTTTGGATTACATCATATATTTGCAGTCTTCAAAATAAACAAACCGTAGTCCAATATAATAGACTGCGCGGGTGACTGGTATGACTGGTATGTAATAGTCGATCTAGGAAGACAACAGCCAATTTAGCACGTTGTACATGACAAACGATACAGATTAATCACCTTTTGGGATGGGTGACAGGGCAATGGTGACGGGTGAGGTCATGGATGATCAAACACATGATCATTACATGACCAACATTACAAAATTGAATCATATTTAGTGATAATGAAATTAAATGGTATAGAGTCTCTATAGTGATCTCAGAGCCTATATCAACACTGTATTGTAAAACTACTGCAGAAGTTGCACAATTGTACTCAGGCCTCACTACTTGGTATAGATTTTATCACCTGAGTAAGATGATACTGTCGAGATACTGGCCACTATTTCACACAACTCTGTCCTTTCAGTCATGCACTTAGGCCATAACTCAACTTAATCACGAACCGTGTTCTATAGAGTCACATTTATCGAGCTTTACAGCACAAAAGATATATGCAATAAAACGTCATTTCGATATTCGACATAACCGTTTATTACAGACTATTTTCACTCTCAAAAGAAAAGTTCACTTAAATGTACATATTGTTACAGAATACAGCTGGAACCACCATTAGATAAGTTATCAGCCTCATAACCACAATCTGACTGATAAGAGTGTGTCTAGGCTACTTCCTACTGTCTATACCCTGGAATAAGAGTAAGATAGGTGTAACATGTAACTCATGGTACACAGTACACTGCAGGGCTAATGTAAACCTTTGTGTACATCTCCCCAGACAAGAGCAACATTACATCACAAAAAGAAGTAGAGAGACCACGTGACTTGTAGAGAGCGAGTAGCACGTGACTTGTAGAGGGCATTAGTAGGAGTAGAGAGCTAGATACACCACATCCTGGATCAGAGAGGCTGGTTATTGGCGCTGGGAGGAGCTGGCTACTACCTGAGCTGCTCTTCTATTCGCTACTATTCTACACAGCAAACTGGAGCTTTTATGTCTGGTTATAGTGTAACTAGGTTACTAGGCTAGGTAACTGGGTTACTAGGCTGCTAGGTAGCAGGGTCACCAGCAAAAGGTGTTTTAGAGTGATGCTCCAATTTGGTAAAGTAGGCACAAACTACATAAGTACATACTACATTACTACATTGTTACCAGTTTAGACTTTAGAGGTAGATATTGCGGCTTTTGCAAATGAAATGATCATTCAGCTGTGCGATAGGAGATGGTGTTGAGAGGAGATACAAAACAGGGAAAGATAAACAATGCAACCTAACTTAACAAGAAATACTAATAAAACGAAACAATCACTAAAATAAATAAAGAAGTGGCCCTTCAGAATAAAGAGCAAAAGGAGCAACTCATGTCAGCAACAAACACACAGCTCATCAGAAGAATGTACACTGGCAAAATGACAAAGGTAAACGGAGATGACCGGTAGAAAGTGTTTACATTCCACAGAGTAAGAAATATCACACAGCTCCGATTACAAGAACTCCGCTACAGTGTGTGATAGAATTAACTTCTCGATTCACACAGAATTGCTTAACACATGGACCATGGTCACATGTTATGGAGGGTTATTTCATGGTACACTTGGGGAGCTAGCTCTCAGACAACTTGTGTGTTTTTGATAACCTTATCAAGATGTGCGCAAGCTAAATATAGAGAGTTGAGTATTATTGTCATCAGATCTTAAGAGCAAGAAATAGCATTATGTCCCTTTGAAAGCATTGTGTTCAACAATATATAAGCTGTACTATTTAATTAGCTTTTACAAGACGAGTCATTAAGGAAGATCAAATGAGTGAGAAGATCTAAGTGTAAAGACTATATAATATAATCTAATGATGGTAATGATGTTAACAAACACGTACATAGCAGACAGACCCCTACGTCACACAGAGATTAGATCACCAAACGGAAAACTTGTACAAAACACCAGGGTGTCAAATAACGGGACAAAAGTAAGAATAACACGCACCTAGGTTCAATGTAAGGAGTGAGAGGTAGCTCGCACTGGCCCCCTAACGATAGCTCCACGCTTATTCTAGGGTAGTGTTCCACAGCTGAGGCTTGATGAGACCGAGACATCACTGCTGAGCGGTAATTGTACACATCGTTTATATCAACAACTGCTGTTACCACTTCGGTGTCCTGGGAATTAGGGGGTTAATTGGGGGTATTGTTTCACTAATAACGAGATAATTTAAGATGTAATAAAGAATAAATTCCTGGCCAGTATCATGTGAAAATATGTACCACATATTTTCATATATGATACTGCTGTATTATGTTGTACGAATTGGAAATGTAATTAACCTGCAGACCAAACTGAGTTCCTTGAGAAGCAAGTTTTCCATTAACAACAATCATAGGGCACCCATCATAGTAGGTTCTGTCTCCATCACAACCCTTCTGATTGCTATACATGTAGATACCTCCAACCTGCGATAAGAGATATTCAATCTTAAAATAGTATGAAATATTTATGTTCTTACTGGGGATAATTGGTTGTCAGTAGTAAATTTCAGAGTTAGACATATTCTGATAGAGATAGAGATATTTGAGCTATTGCTTATGGCAATAATCCAGTTTAAGATGTCACAAGATTGAAGGATATGTTTATCAAGCATGATGTAACATCGTTTAAGAAAATCCAGAACATGATGTGACATCGTTTAAGAAAATCCAGAACATACCTTTTTCATGCTGTGTAGAATAAGATCTATTCTATAATTTAACTTTCTGAGAATGTGATGACTTGCGCTCATGTTCACAAAGATAGACACATCATCCAGGCTCATGTCAATATGAGGGGAGTGTGGTACAAACAACTCCTCACAAGTCTCGCATCCTATGTCAATGTTGTCGAGTGTAGTTATAACTCCATCCCCAAATGGCACTTTCAATTGTCTTGTTACTGAATTTATAATCTTGGGAAGAATGAATGGTTCCACATGCCTGGAGCGTTTCCAATTCACAAAGTACCTCATTTCTCTGTAATTCAGTTCATTGGCAAGATGTCTTTTTGGTCTTATGAAAACAATTTTCTGATCATGGAATGCAATTGTACAGTTGTACAAGACTCCTCTGTGCATGACAGGCATTCCAGTGAAAACTAAGATACCACGCAAATCTGTGTTTGTCAACAAACGGGCCAGTGTTTGCCAGCAGTGCTGCAGAGTATCAGGTTCATAGAAGTGATCGTAACATCCATACCCACAGATTTCTAACTCTGTTCCTACTCTTATCAAAGCACCCTGCTCCTTAGCTTGGATGATGGTATTGCATATTCTACTGTAGTTTCCATCAAAATCTAAAGCCCATTGATTCAGCGAGCAAGAAGCAATACAGACTTTAAGCGGACTGCTAGGACCACCACTTGCCATTAACTGAAAGAAGGTGGGTTTTAAGGCCACAGGGGGGGTCGAGGCCTCAAAAAATGCAAAAAAACATTATGCTTTGAATCAATATATATTTTTGTGGTGGATACTTTGCCACCACTCATTTGTCTGTAGCTATTTTACTTTTTTTTATAAATGAGGTTAACCAATTCTCATTTAACCTCATTTTTTTGATAAATCGATAATGGAGGGCAGAAATATTGATGCCATTACAACTGAAAACTACGATAAGCTTTGTTTTTATTGTTTTTGTGTTATTTCAGCAGTTAAACTTTGAAAAATATACAAATAAAGGCAAAATTCTCAAAAATCACATAACATAAAAAACAGTTTTTTGCCTCTCCTGAAAACCTCGAATTTTTGACTTCAAAATCTATCTTCTCCTAGAATTTTTATCCATTTCACCTCAAATTTGGAACTTATGTTCCTGACATAAATTTAAAAGTTTGTTATGTAACGATTGTTGTAATTTTGCTCCTAACTCTTTTTATGAGGTTAACCATTTTAAATTTTGTAACCCGCACTCATGGTTAACCTCATATCTCAGCTTTGGAGCAAGATATCATAAATCGTTACATAACAAAAACTCAAAATACCTTGAAGAACATTGTTGCCAAGTTACAAGGTTCTAAGTCATAAACTGAAAAAGAAGATAGATTTTGAACACGATTTCATTTAAAGTTTTCATTTACAATAGAATTACAGGTAAACCTCAAAATTCAACGCGCGATATCTTCAAATAGGAAACTTTGTTTTTGGTAAGGACAAAAGCATTTGAAAATTTAGATCGAGCTCTACAACATATCTCAAAATCTCAAAATCGACCTCAGACCCCCCCCCCCCCCCCCCCCCTGTGGCCTTAAATCATGTTTAAGGACTTACAACTTTTGAGATCAAGAAATATACAATTTTGTAAGGCTCTATAAACACAAACTTGTAAAATGTAAGTACTCTTTATAAAATAGATTTTATAGGAATTGCATTTAAGAATCTAGGGAAGGAAACAAAAAAAGATACCAAAGATAATGTAAATCAAATGATTTATGGTGCTAGAGACCATAACTGAAAATATAAATGCTACGGGGAGGTGGTGGCTCAGTTGGTAAATCCACCTGGCATTGCTTGAGGTGCCAGGTTCGATTCCCGACTCTGCCACTAGCCTTGGGCTTGGTGGTGTAGTGTGGGGCAGCGCGGCCAGCAATCGTTAGATCGCTGGTTCGAGCCCCAGCGCTGCATCATTAATCCCACCCCCCCCCCCTGCTGTGTGGAAACAGCAGAATAAACCACACCAATTACAACAAATAGAAAACTACACTTAGTTCTGAGAATAATTCGCGTGAAGATGCTTCCAATTAACATACCCCAATTGCAACAAACACACAATACACACAATATATATAATAATGTGTACACATTGCCGTTACATCGACTTGTGGTTGTGTGTAAGATTAATGGCTTAGCAAGGAGTGAGTATAAACGCATATCAAATATAAGTATGCAATCCCCGGGATCTACTGCAGTCATTCTTAGGAGGGGCGCCCCAGACCCAACTGCCATTGCTCAGCCATGGTACCAGCAGGTTCGTCCTGGAATAGTGGACTCGATGCAAATCAGCTGGGCTTCAGTAGGACCCATCGTTCTCATGGGTCGCTTGCTCGCAAGAGTCAAGTCAGTAAGTGTGGCCCCGCCAACCCTGCTGTGTGGACTGTGGGGGGTCTAATTTGTTTAATTTTAGGGTGGAGCACCAATGCAAAAGGGGAGGGGGTGCGGGGGGGGGGGGGGGGCGCCAACAGGCAAAGTTACGCCACTGGTCACAGTACAGAATTTCTAAGGAAAAATATCGCTTTCTTAGCCGATTTTATTGGAATTTTGTGGCTATGTGATTAATATCAATGTGGACACTGAAAACGTGAATTTTGCCTCATTGGATTTTCGAGACCAGGCAAAGTGTTTTCTGGAGCAGCATTGCCTACTTTAGCCTCAGGCTGTCACTGATAAAGCCAGTGATGTTTTGGGATAAGGAAAATGAAGAACAACCTTCTGTCTTTAGAGGTATTCTGTAAACTTAATTTCAGCCTTTCTAGCTTCAATTGAATTGAGTAATATGATGATATTGTTTAAATGACATGAGACACAAATGAGACACTGTACAGTTAAGCCACTTAAGACATATCTACAAATTTTCGGTCATACGTTAACAAAACGTGGTAACAGGCGGAATTCAGGCGCAAACACCCCTACAGACACAAAAGACAGGAAAGCAGCCAAGAAGTCATCTCTGAAAAAGGACGTAGATGTGCTGCAGACTGCCTTAAATGTGATTCCAGCTGGAGATACTCCTGCCCTGCTCACCAACCACAGAGACCTAGAACAATGCCCTTGTGGCAATTCTTCGGATGCATGGAAGATTGACTGTTCAAAATGTCACCAGTTCTGGCATGTGGATTGTCTAAGCATGAAGGGCATGGGACAGTCCCAAATCAACAAACTGGTAGAATATCTATGCCCATTCTGCTATGTAGCACCAATCCCAACCATAAATCATGACCTCGACCTCTGCCATGTCTGTAGAAACACACTCACGATCCAGCAAGCCAACAGTGTTCATGAAATAGGAATAGCAAGTGAGAAGCTGGAACAAATGGCATCATTTGGTGACCTGCTCAACAAAGTGAACTTTGACAACCTCAAAGATGGACTATTGGCCATACAGAACCTCGAGCTACATGTTCAACATATATTAATCAGTGAGGAAGGTCTGAAGCATCACCAAAACAAAGTGAGTAAGATAGAGGAACATATGAGTGAAATTGCTAAGCAAAAAGCATCAGAGGATGGTTCAATCACTGACATGGTAAAACAGACACATCAGTTGGTTGAACAACTCCAGAAGATCAGTGATAAGCCGGAGGTAACATCTCACAAGAACGAGGAGCTAATGAAAAGGATCGAAGACAAGCTCCAGGCACTAACCGAAAGTGAGACAACTTTCCAGACCCAACTTAACAGTTTAGGTAGTCAAATACAGGATCTTAAAGCATCTCCTCAATCCAGAGCACCACCTGTGGCTGAGAAACACTCTCCTCCACCACATACTTTCTTACAACCTGACCAGCCTACCCCTCATATAGCACATGACCAGGTGCCTGTAACGGAAATCAAGCCAGATTTCATTCTGACAACTGAATCTGATAAAATTACTGCCTTTCTTCAGTCATGTTCCTTCGAATCAGAGAACGGTCACTCTGTCATTTCATTTGGCAATCCCTACCACTACACTGGTTCTAAATCTTCAAAAAATGTTCCACCGATTCCTGAGGAACTTAAACCATTATTTGATGAAATGAACAAAGTACAAACTGAGCTGTACAATAAGTGCTACCCGGAGCAGCCCCACCTGACGGCCCCAGTTATTAACTCATGTCTCATCAACAGATATGATGGCCCTGATAGTCACCTACCTAATCATTCAGACCGTGAAGTGACCATCCATCCGGAATCCTCAATTTTTACTTTGTCTCTCGGCCAGAGTTGTAACATCAAGTTCACTGAATGTGACTCTGGAACTGAATCTTCTTATGAATGTTTAGACCGCTCCTTGTACATAATGAGCCGTAGATCACAAGAAGTTTACAGCCATATGATTGAGCGTGGCTCAATATCAGATGGCATTAGATACTCGCTGACCTTTCGTGCTGTTAGCTGGACTAATAAAAATTGCACAAGTTTACATGGTGATTCAAACACAGGCCTCTTGCGTTTTGGGTCTGACAAGAGGGGTACCTTTGGCGAGCTCATGCCAGGTCAAAAATTCTGGGCTCCCAGAATTGATGATATCAACCCTGTGTCCTGCATGGGTTACGCCAATGTAGTGCTCCACTGTGGGATCAATGACGTGAGACAGCCTGATGTTAAATCTGAGAATGATATTGCTGATTGCTACAATAAACTGAAGCTGAAAATAAAACAAATTAAGAAGCTTAGCCCTAGCACTAGAGCTGTATTTGTTTGTCAGCTGCTTCCCACTAGGGACTTACAGCTGAATTTTAAAGTTGATTCATTTAATAGACTTATTCATTTTGACCTGCTCCCTACATGTAAGGATGTTGTGCGTGTTCAGGGTTTTATGAAGTTCGCCTGCAACCGTGTTCTTGCGGACGAACTTTCAAAACAATTTGACAGAAATGGTCGACCTGATACACTTCATCTTAACAAGTCAGGGGCAAGAGTCCTTGCTGGACTCATTAAACAATCTGTATTTACTAGGTTAAATGGCGGGGCAGACAGAAGACATCACATCGGCAAAGTTAATGGACGGCTATACAGCAACGTGGCTAGTGACCCGCCTGCACCGCAGCGGATGGGGAGGAACGGTTAACAGGTATGGTTAATCGTGTTCAAAAGGAAATTTGTTATCACTGTCTGAAGAATATTGGTCTAGGGCTTCCCCACTTTGAATGCTTTAACTGCAACAGTATTTTCCATGCCAAATGTTTTAATCCCTCCAAAGCACAAGTTATTAATGACAACTTTTACTGCATCAAATGTAAACATTCTATATCTAAAAAATATAATCCTTTTAAAGTAATGACCGATCCTGAAGTTAATGACTGTGACCCATGTCTCCAAAAGATGTCTGATGTTTTGGAAAACTGTAGATCCTATACAATTAAGGACTTTAACACACATATCAAACCGTGTTTTGCAAGCAACTGCTCCATGATTTTCCAGAACATAGATGGCAATAAAACAAATTTTGATGCCTTTAGCATGGAACTAGACCTAATAGCCGAAAAATTTAAAATTATTGGACTTGCTGAAACCAATATTGGAATAGAGGAAAGCACTGTTTACCATCTAGAGGGATACAATTGTTTCTACCAAGATAAACATATCAATAAAGCGAAGGGAAGTGGAGTAGCATTGTACTTAAAGGACGAACTTAATGGAGTTGTAAACGAAGAATTATCATGGGTAACCAAAAATCTTGAAAC